TCTCTCGGCCCCACCCACCTCACAGGGCGGCTGTTGTGGGGAGGGGAAGGGAAAGGTGCTTGTAAGCCGCTCTGAGACTCCAAGTGAAGGGCGGGGTATAAATCCAATCTCGCCCCCAGGCACTCCCTTGGGAGGGTGCAGAGATGTGTGCGGGGTGCCTCCTGACTTATTTAAAGACCCCCAAATTTAAAAAATCCTGGCTACAGGCCTGTTTTTTTGTACCCCTAAATCCCCAGTTGAGGGTTAAATTAGACCTCACGGGAGGGTCCTTATGTTTTTATTTTCATCTGCTAATTCATGTGTGAAGTGGGGTGCTCAGCTTTTTAAAAATGAAAACGGTGGGCAAAGGGAGCCGTTCTCTGCCTTCTTCCCTGCCTTACCTCACATGAACCTGGCTTGTACTGAATCAGACCATCGGTGTCCATCAAGGCCAGTATTGTCTACTCAGACTGGCAGCAGCTCTCCAGGGTCTCAGGCAGAGGTCTTTCACATCACCTACTGCCTGGTCCTTTTAACTGGAGATGTCTGGGATTGAACTGGGGCCTTCTGTATGCCAAGCAGATACTCTTCCACTAAGCCATAGCCCTTCCCCTTAAAAGAGGACCCCTTCTCACATGAACACACACAAACCCATGAATCTGCCTTATACTGAATCAGGCCCTTTGGCCATCAAGAGCAATATCATCTGCCTAGACTGGCAGCAACTCTCCAGGATCTCAAGCAGAGGTCTTTCGCATCACCTATTACCTGATTTTTTAAAAGTGGAGATGTCCGGTATTGAACCTGGGACTGTCTGCGTGCCAAGCAGAAGCTCTATCACTGTGCCACCATGGGCCCTCTCTACTTTCATCATTGTTCTTTCAGCCCACCTTTCAATACCAGAGCCAGGCTTGGCAGAAAACACCTGAAAGCTCTGAGGTGCAATAATTTAATTTTTGCCACGTGAGAGAGAGGCAAAACTAATCCGTTGACGTTAGAAAACAAGTTTCGTCGTACACAAAAGAAGGCGCATTCTTGGGGAGAAACCATCTCCTGCAGGTTGCTTCTATATGGCTCAGTCTTTTCTCCTGTGCTATTCAATCTCAATGTAAATCCCTTAGGAGAAATCATTCACGCTTTTGGAATAGGGAGTCATCAATATGCTGGTGACATTCAGCTCTATATGTCTTTATTCAAACTGCCGGGGAATGGGGTGAAATGCTGAACCAACATCTGCTGCAGGTCAAGGTCAAGGTCAAATACCTTTAATGGCATATCAATAAAATACATGATGTGATAAAATATGAGCAAGAAAGCATTACAGAGATAACAAAATAAGGCTGATCATACAAAAAGCTTGTTTCTATCTTTGACCGCCTCAGCCAAGAACTTAGCAACTAGAGCTGTGAGGTCCGGGTTTGTGTCATTTAGCAGATATTGTATTATCCTGTCATTGTTAATACAATGTTTAGGGTATAGTGGAGAGGAAAGGAGTTTCTTTCACGGGCCTGTGTGCAATTGGCAGTCCAAGATGATATGGTGAATTGAATCTATCGATTTTAAAGGACAGATACATTGCCTTTCACGGAAAGGGACTTTGTTATACCAACCAGTTAATATTTTTGAAGGAAAGATGTTTAGTCGGGCAAATGTAAAAGCTCTACGATGAGAAGGGTCATCTAAGTTGTAAAAATAACTGGCCATTTCCCCTTGCTGGATAGAAAGGTTTAGTTTGACCTGCTGCAGTTAATGGCTAAGGGTAAAGAAGATGAAACGGAGTCTTGACAAGATGGAGGTGCTGTTGGTTGAGAAGGACACGAGACTTCCCTCGTTTGACGGGGTCCAGCTGACTCTCGCTGACTCCATTAATAGTCTCGAGGTGATACTCAATCAAGCTTTATTGGTGGAGAAGCAAGCTGATGCGGCAGCAAAAAAAAAGTATTTTACACACTCCACTTAGGTCAAAAGATGACCCCCTATCTTGACTCGGATGACTCTGGCTAGATGGACCCATGCTATGGCTTCCTCAAGGTGGGACAATGGTAATGCACTCTGCCCTTAAAGACATTATTCTGAAACTGTAGTTGGTTCAGATCGCCCCACCCTGGCCACTATTGGAATCTGCACATCACGCCCCACTCTGCAGACCCTCGGATGGTTAAAAAGGTAATCCGACTCTAGGGTTGCGGTGCTCATCTCCATTTCAAAGCCGAAGAGCCAGCGCTGTCCAAAGACATTTCCATGGTCATGTGGCCGGCATGAGTAAACACCAAGGCACACGGAACGCTGTTACCTTCCCACTGAAGTGGTACCTATTTATCTACTTGCAATTTCTTGCTTTCGAACTGCTAGGTTGGCAGGAGCTGGAACTAGAGATGGGAGCTCACTCCGTCATGCGGCACACTCGGGTCTCGAACTGCTGAACTAGCGACCTTCCACAGCCTGCAGTTCAGCGTCTTAACCACTTGAGCCATCGCAGCTCCGATGGTTACCCATCAGTTAACAGGTTCAGTTCGAGGTGCTAGTGGTCACCTGCAACGCACATAAAGGCCTACGCATTCCCTGCTACACATCTCCCGCTATGTTCCACTGAGACCGTTCCGCCCGACTGAGCGAAGCCTTCTAAAGGTGCACCCTGCAAACAGGTAAAATCGTCAGTTGCCCGGTCACACGCATTCTCCGGTGGCTCCTACATTGTGGAATGGTATACCGGAGGCTGTTAGGAAGGGCCCCCCACACCTCTGTTGCTCTGCAAAATATGCAAAACAATTGTTCAGGGGGGGGGGGGGGGGGGGTTTTTTGGGGCTGAAGTTTTTTTGGGTGGTGTAATAGGCTCCGCTCAGGAGGTGCCTTTTATTAGAGAGAAAGTCTTGACTACACTGATTGTCTTCGTGGCCTCAGACTGACGTTTGCATTTTTTGTTCTGTTTTCCCCCCCTCCGGCCCAACTGCATTATTTCGTCTTATTAGTTTTTATCATACTTGGAATCTGCCTTAAGCCCCACCGAGAAAAGCAGACTCTCAATGAAAAATGAAAAATAAATAAATGAATAGATGGTGACTCCCGGCGCCTCCAGACACACCGATTGCAGGAAGTTGCTGCAGTAAAGGGGAGCATTGTGATAACATTGTGCACAGTTTGGGCAACGCTTTGTCTAGCTCTTGTTTTCCCCTCCTCACTCCAGAGAAAATGCACACTCCCACTTTCTTAGTGGCTGCAGGGCAAGACCTGCGGAGTCGGACTATGCATCCCCATAGCCGTCATGGAGGTGAGTATGGAGCTCATCTCCGCATGCCTCCCTTTTCAGCCCTTTAGACCTGGAGTCGTGGGCTTTGGCAGGCACAGCAGGGAGGAGTGAGGAGGGTGAAAAGTACGCAAACGGAGAGTGATTTCAGCAAAGCGTACTTCGATCAGGAACAAGACGACTTTGGCCGGCTCGCAGGCCGGCTTATATCCCCCGAGAAACCGCCACCCAAAACACACCCCTACTTCCCTATAGGTTATTTACAGTGGCCGAGAGTCCCATAGGCTCTCGGCCGCGAACCTAGCCCCCTGATTGGAGCGTTTGTCTCTGGACTTGTCTGGACTGGATACATTACAGAGGGCAGCCGCAGCACAAGCAGTGTGGAAATGGACTTCTAATGTGTCATGTTAACAATTATGCTTTGCTTCAGTCCTGAACTCCTGATTGGTTCTACAACCCAAATCCTAACTCGCCGTTTACTGAATGTCCCATCTTGCTGATTGTCTTGACTCGCTCTGTGCAATCTGTGTTGAGTCCCAGTGAGAAAGGTGGACTGTGAATAACAAAACATACATACATATTTGGAGAAACCCACATTTCCCCTGGGAAACACAGGGGTTTTGCGAACAGGCCCAATAACCTGTATTTTGTGGAAGGAGACCAAGAAGGGAAGGGGGGGGAGAGAAGACAGGGAGGTATGACAGAGAAGTTGTGGCTGCATGGCACAACATCTGCTTGGCCTGCAGAAGGTCCCGGGCTCAGTCCCCAGGACCTCCAGTTAAAAAGAGCAAGTAGTAGGTGATGTGAAAGACCTCTTCCTGAGACCCCAGGAAGCTGCTGTCTGTCTGAGTAGGCAATACTGATCTTGCTGGACCAGTGCTCTGATTCCCTATAAGGCAGCTTCCCAAGGCGGGGTAGAAGGGTTCTGGTCAGTGTTCTAAGCTTACAGGGAACATTGGTTCTGGTGCCTTCTCTCTTCTTCAGATTGGTACTGCACCACTGGAAATGAGGAAGAAGAAGAGGAGGAGGAGGAAGAGGAGATTGGATTTATACGCCGCCCTTCACCCGGAGTCTCAGAGCGGTTTATAATCTCCTTCCCTTCCTCTCCCCATGACAGACACCTGTGAGGTGGGCAGGGCTGAGAGAGCTCTTTCCAGAACTGTCCTTGAGATAACAGCTCTGACAGAACTATGGCTTGCCCAAGGTCATCCAGCAGCTGCAAGTGGAGGAGTGGGGAATCAAACCTGGTTCTCCCAGATTAGAGTCCGCGCACTTAACCACTACACCAAACTGGCTCACAAGACTCCACAGCTTAGGGGGAGCACTGGTTCTGGTGCCTTCTCTCTTCTTCAGATTGGTACTGCACCACTGGAAAGGAGTAAGAACATTTCAAGATCTTATCCGAAGAAATGTGCGCACACACAAAAGCTTATACCTGGAATAAAACTTTGTTGGTTTTAAAAGGCGCCACTGGACTCAGACTTTGTCCTGCTGCTTCAGACCAACACGCCTGCCCCGCCTGAATCAAGATCTTACGCTGCAGCTGTAAAAATTGCATATCAAAGATATTTTTCATTATCGTGGCCTGGTTGGGAACACTTCTGCAGTGAGTGTCCAACAGATGCTACCGAGACAAAAACTCAGACACAATGACTGATGCAAAGCTTTACAGTTTATTTTACAAGCTATTATACACGTTCTAAAACACAGCGCTTTTCATTTAGACAAAATAACTGTAATTTTAATTTGTTCTTGTGACTTCCGTTGGGCGGGGAGTGGGTTGCTGCTTTTCAGATGGGCTGTCCTAAATGGGGGGAGAAAAAGTATGAGAGGCTGATAAATATTATCTTGGAGTGGCCTTCCCAACTAGGCAGTTCTGTTTTTGTAGCATGACCTCACTGGTTACAACAAATCAGACAATGATTTGCATATGGACAGTGGAAACCCAGTACAAAGCTGTGGAATTCTTATGTGCAAAAATTCTACTTTGTGAGCTACTGGCATTAAAGTTGTGAGTGAGTAATTTGGCTACTACATAAATTAGTTTGCTCTGGAGCCATTTTCCTAAGACAAAAATGTGTGAGCTGGAGGCTAACTCAGCTTAGTGGGAACACTGGTTAGCACATGTCTCTCAGTCCCAGAACCTGAAATGCTTTATAATTTTAATAATCAGGGACAAGACGCCTTACATTGGGATGTCAGGAATAAAGCTTGCAGGCACACACAAAGTCTTTTATAGAAGAAATGGTTCTTTGAGAGAATCAGAAAACTTCTATGCCCCATCACTATGAAGCTGGCTTGAGCCAGTTTGGTGTAGTGGTACTTAGGAGCCCAAACTCTAATCTGGGAGAACTGGGTTTGCTTCCCCACTCCTCCACATGCAGCCAGCTGGGTGATGTAGGGTCAGTTACAAGTTCTTTCAGAGATGTTTTCTCAAGGACCAGGGCTATTTTTGGACAGGAATGCACAGGAACGGAGTTCCGGCTGGCTCCTGAGTTGGCCACACCCAGCAGAAACTCATTAGCATAATAGGCCACACCCAACAGCAGAAACTCATTAGGAGCCCTGTCAAGGACAGTTCTCAAGAGAGCTCTCTCGGCCCCACCTACCTCACAGGGTGTCTGTTGTGGGGAGGGGAAGGGAAAGGAGTTCGCAAGCCGCTCTCTTGTGTAGTGGATTAGACGCATGTAGAAACCACAGAGACGGATGTGGTGATCAGCATGGTTTACTGGTACACAACTAGAACATAGAACAACGGCCATTAGGCCAACTTTATACAGTACCTGGGAACACCCCTAGATCCTATTGGTGGAGTTAAACCTCCCGCCAAAGTTCCTATTGGTTCCCCATGGGAAATCCAGGAGCCTAGTCCCCATTGTTTATCTGAAGCTAGGCCATGTGTTGCTGGCGCCTAGTGGCGGTCAGCGGACATAACACGCTCTGAGACTCCAAGTGAAGGTCGGGGTATAAATCCAATCTCCTTCTTCATCTAACTCTGTGTGGTCTGCTGGGATTGGTATCAATTCTCCCAGGTCTTTCCCAGCCCCTCCTACCTGAGATTTTTAAAACCAAGATTCTAGGGACTAAATGTGGCACCTTCTATGGGCAAGGCACAAACTCTACTGCTGAGTTTAAATAGGGGTTTCCAGCCCCATCTTGGGGGAATTCCTGGAGATTTTTTTTGGGGGGGCAGTACCTGGGGAGGGTGTAGTTTGGGGACGGGAGGGAGCTCAATGGGGATCTAAAGCCATACAGTCCATGCTTATGTAAGCCGCCCTGAGCCCATTCGTGGGGAGGGCGGGGTATAAATGCAATTAAATAAATAAATAAAAATAAATAAAATCCTCCAAAGCTGCCGTTCGCTCCACGGGAACTGATCTCTAAAGGCTTAGAGACCAGTTGTAACTCCAGGAGAACTCCAGCCCCCCCCCCGAGGTTGGCAACCCTGCTGAGCTATGGGCTATCCACCTAGCGATGCCCGTAGCACCCATTTCCTGGCAAAATGGTTGAGCAAAGCCCCGTTCCTTGCTAGTTTTGCAGCCCCGGCAGCAATCACTAAGCAGTGTGGGGAGACTGATGCTGGCACAGAGTACCGAGCGACAGGACAATCCCCCTAAAATTCAAGTTTAGAAAATGGGGCTTCTGCTCAGGATTCCCCCACTTCGTAATTTTGCATTCTTCGCTTCTGACCAGTCCCGAGCCTCTTAATGTTACTGGAGCTGGGAGGAGGCTGGCTTGTGTTCAGTTCCCATCTTCAGGACAACACTCCACACAGGCATAAACAGTCTTCAGTTGCTAGGAAAGAGGTTACTGCCGTGTAGAAACCCCCAGAGGCACAAGGACTGAGATAATCTAAACAGAAGAGCTGCAGTCCACAAAAACTCTGGCGTAATCTAAATTACTTGAGACCGCAGCTGCAGGTTTCTAGGGCACGGACCGCAACTGACTACTGCGATGACCACACACATACACTGAACCTAGGGGTTCAGAGTTGCACGGCATTGCACTGAAACCGGCATGGGGCCCCGTCCTCCCCTGCACTAGCATCCTCTTACCTGAGCCAGGGTGGCTACTAGCCTCTGCTTCCAAAATCCTAGTTTCTGTTGGAGAAGGATTTTGCCTTTCTAGGTGCTGCACACTCCTTGCTTGATGAATGCAGGGAGAACTGACCCCCGCCCCCAAGCAGCTGGATGCTGAAGCCTACGCTCACCCTGTGGGCTGTGCCAAATGTAGAGGAGGAGGAGGAGGGGCGTGGAATGGCTGTCACTGGGGGTGGGGGAAGGTGTTTGTGAATCTCCTGCATTGTGAATCTCCTGCACTGGATGACCTGGAGGTCCCTTCCAACTCTATGATTCTATGATTCCAAGAAGAGGAAAAGTTGGTTTTTATACCCTTCACTACCCAAAGGAGTCTCAGAGCAGTTTACAATCACCTTCCCTTCCTCTCCCCACAACAGACACCCTGTGAGGTAGGTGGGGCTGAGAGAGCTCTGAGAGAGCTGTGACTGGCCCAAGGTCACCCAGCTGGCTTCATGTGGAGGAGCAGATTGAAATAGAACAGAATACCCCTCTGTTGAAGACTGGCCACAAATCTGAGGATGGCGAGGAGGAGAGCCAGGACTGCATACTGAAGTGGGTGGACTGTAACTGGCAGAGGCTGGGAAATAAAGGCTGCAGACCTTCTGTGAGCCAGTCGCTCTTTTCTTCTCAGCCTCAATCTGCCGGACAGGTTCATTGTGAGGTGAACATGGAAAAACAAACAACCCAGGTTTATGGAAAGATGAAATACAAATATAATTTTCTAAAAAGCCGCACCCATGAAACGTTTTACTTGCATGCCTGAAATGGAATGAATGTCAACATGAAAAGGTTGCCAGCCTCCAGCGCATGTGGTGCACATCACCATTTACTGGTGTACGTCCTGGCTTGTCAGATACACAGTGGCCCAATCTGCATCTAGCATTTGCTCCGCTGTTTTACCAAACCCCCACTAGAACAGAAAAAGATGTGTCTCAAAACCACATTCAAATAAAAAGTCACCCCTGAAAGGCCATAAAACAGCCATAAATCTATGCAGATGGCTACCATAAAACCGAGAGATCAAACGAAGTGAACGGGCAGGCAGTCTGGACACTGACATAAAATCTGACAATCCATCAAAGTGAAAGTGGCATGCAATGCAGAGGGGATATATCTGTTCCAGCGTGGGTTTGGTAAAACTGTGGAGCAGATGCTAGATGCAGATTGGGCCACTGTGTATCTGACAAGCCAGGACGTACACCAGTAAACGGTGATGTGCACCACATGCGCTGGAGGCTGGCAACCTTCACATGCTGACAATTCATTCCATTTCAGGCATGCAAGTAAAACGCCAAAGTCAAATACCAACAATCCCATCTGAGTGAGTGGCTCTCAGTTTTCAATGGTTTTATCTCTTTGAGTTTTCTGGACATCCACAGAATTTGCCAGGGACTGCCGATGTTCACCAGACTTCAGACGTGCAGACACGACTGTGCAATCCCAAACCGAATTCCACCCTCCCTAAACCAATGGGCTTAGAAAGGCTTAACTCTGCTTAGGACTGCCCTATAACGCATGTGGAATGTCATGTGAGAATGTGGCAAACACTTTCACAGGCAGTGTGTTACAGTGGCACACCCTCTGGGGAATTAGATTGGCCGTGGTATTGCAAGGGTGGGTTTTGTCATCCAGTAACATGCGACGCAGCCGCAGACATTTCGCTCAAAGTGCTGCAAAGCGGCAGGGATGTGTGGGAGAAAGAACGGGGAGCGGGCGCATTCTTACTTCTCATTACGGCATGCCTGGAGTAGTACTTAGGCTGGGGGAGCACGTTGCTTGGAGTCTGCGATGCCGGCTTGAAGCCTCCCACGGGGAAATTCCTTTTCAAGCTCCAAATTCCTTCCAGGGCCACTAGGCATAATGTTAAGAACAAGGCACTCGTTTTTTTTTATGGAACAGTGCCATTTTTTTCGTAGGATGCGACTGTACAACCGCACGACTCTGATCCAGTGGAACTGCCAGCCCCAGGTGTGTGGATTTCCGCCACTGCTCCCCTTCCACAAGCAGTCGCTTTCATCTCCCTAGATAGGTGATTCCCAGAATTCAGGGAGGGGCCGTGGCTCATTGGCAGAGCATCTGCTTTGCTTGCAGAAGGCCCCAGGTTCAATCCCTGGCATCTCCAGCTAAAAGGACCAGGTAGCAGGTGACGTGAAAGGCCACCCTGGAGAGCCACTGCCAGTCTGAGTAGACAATACTGACCTTGATGGACTGATGATCTGCTTCGGTATAAGGTAGCGTCATAGGTCTAATTGTGGCATGGAGGAACAGGTAGGGGAGGAGTGGGAGGGGGTGAAATCACCTCCTGGCTGCAGCCCTCCCCCCCCCATCCAGTGTGAGCTTTTCTGACAAGGGCCTCTCAGCTCCAGCAATCAAAAGGGACCGCTGGGGGGGAGAGAAACATGGGGGAAATCTGCACCCACCAATGCCTTCTACTGATGGTTGGATCTGTGCCTAATCCTGCAAGTTACCTGGATGCCGTTTGAAGGCCTGTGAACGGCACAAATGTAAATACTCCACTTCGTCTGTGTCACTTCAGTGGTGCCGCTTGTAAACTAACAAGGGTAAACATGTGGAGTAAATGGTTTTCGGTGCCCTGGGGAACTTTGGAATGTCCTAGAAGTGTATCAGTGGTTCTCCAATGAGCTCAACCGTGACAGGCGGTCTTTTCTGAAAGACGATTGATCTCCTCCAGGAGTGTAAAATATCAGGAGTGTGGTTTACAGGGCATGCTCAATTCATGCAGGGGATCCCAAAGGTCTGCCCACCGCCCCACATGAATGCAGCATGCACTCCAGAACATGCCTCAGTGACATGCGGGCATCCTGTGGTAGATGATGAAAGGTTCCTCAATGAATTCTGAAAAGGGTTCCTTGCAAGTAGGAAGTCTTAAAATCACTGGTTTATGTGAATGCATATGGATGCCCATCAAGATGGATGGCAGATGTATGGAGATGGGCGGACTCTCCCTGTTTATAGGAGGAGATAGAATCAGAACATGAATCGCCATCAGATTCAGTGAGGGTGACCATCTGCATTTGCAGGAAAAGACAGGGTGGGTGGACAAAGACAGCACCTGATGAAAGCTTCAAGGGACACAGCTGATAATGGATAACTGCAGTCACCATGTGGCTGTGCAAATCTATTGTTGGGGAGTAGTATCACAATGACACTATAGCTGGCGTTAGAACAGGCCTGCACAACTTGTGACTTACCGAGACAAACACAGCTCAACAGCTATGCAGTGTGGCCTCCTAGCAGGGCCAGTTCCAGCATTTCGGGGGGGGGGGAGTGTCTCTGGGCAGAAAGCCTCTTTCCCACCACCAGGTCCGCTTCCTGCCCCTCCACTGCCTGTGTGTCCTTCCCCCACCTGCTCACAGCTGTCTGCCTGCCTTTCCCCCAGAGGCACTGGGCAGTGCATGCGGATGGGACTGCCACCACCAGGGGTCATTCTTCCTGCCCCTCCACTGCTTGTGTGTCCTTCCCCCATCTGCTCACAGCCGTCTGCCTGCCTTTCCAGCAGAGGCACTGGGCAGTGCATGCGGATGGGACTGCCACCACCAGGGGTCATTACCTGCCGGAGTGCCCCAGAGCGGTGCTCTGGCAGTAAGGAGCCCGTGCCCCGCCCCCTCCTGCAGAGACTCAGAGAGGGGCGGGATTTAAATGCCTGGGTTCCCTGCCCTTCCCCTCTGCAGCCAGTCCGCTGCGGCGGGTTGGCTGGAGAGGGGAAGGGGAGGTGGGCAGACTCTGCGATGACAGTTCTGTCCCTGTTCATTAACACGCTGGGCTGCCAAGCCAAACAGCGGCTTACCCAAGAAACTTAATTCACATACATTGTCTTTGGTCTGATTTGATAATATACCTAGTTCATAAAACAAAAGCATCATTTGTGCTTTAGCCTCATAATATATGTCAAGGTGCAAATATTCTCAGAAACGCACTTACATGACTTGTGTGGAGGAGGAAACTGTAAGTTAACTGAAGTCATCATTTATGTTCTGTACAGGCCCAGATGGCTCCCCACCTCTTCCCCCTCGTAAACCTATTTCCTATTAGTTTCCCAGAAGTGGCGTTTCAGTGCCTTCTGTGGCTAGCAAGAGCAGATGACATTATGCAAAGTGCAGCAATGATACAATGATTAGCATCTTTGTTCTTGCTGTACAATTCAGCTTCCTTGGATCTCTGTAAAAGGCACGCTACACGCAGTGTGGAACAATGATGTCCTCATCAGAGAAATTGTAGACCCAGTGAGGTGTAGTGGTTAGAGTGTCAGACTAGGACCTGGGAGAACCAGGTTCAAATGCCCCACCCACCCCGCCATGGAAGCTTGCCATGGATGACCTTGGGCCAGTCACACGTGATCGGCCAGACCTACCTCACGGGGCTGTTGTGAGGTTAAAACAGAAGAGAAATAAGCAACTTTGGGTCTCCACTGTGGAGAAAAGTGGGGAATGAATGAAGTAAATAAATCAATATTTAGGAAGCGATTGTTCTCCAGGCCAGTTTGGCTGGAGATCATGGAGTTTTTTTGTCATCTTCTGGGGGTGGAACAGAGGTCACTGGGGGTGGGGGGGAGGTATTTGTGAATTTTTTGCATTGTGGAGGGGGTGGCCTAGATGACCCTCGAGGTCCCTTCCAGCTCTATGATTCCATGAATATTGTTGTTCTATTTAATTTCACTTTAGTTCAGCTCCTGAGTGAACAGCTCTGAGAGAACTTGTGACTGACCCAAGGTCACGCCAGCAGCTGCATGCAGAGGAGTGGGGAATCAAACCCGGTTCTCCCAGATTAGAGTCCATGCTCCTAACCAGGACACCAAACTGGCAGTGTGCAGATTTTGATAGGAGACTACATGTATTGCCCGAGGGGTTTTTGTTTGTTTGTTTTGTTCTTCCTCCTTTGTTCCCCACATTCTCTTTTTGAGCCCTTTTTAGGCGGTGAACCTGAGATCTGCCAGCTGGCTGGCTGGCTGGATGATGAATGCAAACTAATAAAAGAGTTGGGATGATTACTGGTCTGGGAGATTGATGTGATGACGACAAACGCAAAGCGAAGAAGCGCGTGTTGATCTTGTGTGAGAGACGAGGGAAGTTTGCTCTTCAAAGGGAGAATATAAATATCTTGACAGGTGGCCCGTATGTTCTAGTGGCTGAAACCCAAGTTCAGATTTCATTGGAAGCTGCTGGCCTTGATCCAAGAGAAAGCATGCAGGGCTGAGGAATGCCATGTGTATCTGTCCTCGGGCTGAAATGCCCCATTCCAAGATCTGGGGCTAGGCAGCCGCATTTACAACAGCACTAACTATGTATCTGAGGAAGCAAGGTGGGGGCAGGTAGGTCAGCCCTCCCCACCTTTGCATCCCTCCAAAAGATGACTGGGGCAGTAGCCAGTGATGCAGCTGTGGTCATTTACATGCAGACTGGACTCCTCAGTGGTGCTTTCAGCCCGTGGAGATGCATTTGCCTGTAGGTGTTCCTTATCCAGCTCAGGATGTGCACAGGGAAGCCAGCTTCTACATGCATACAGCCATAGCTGAATCAGGGTGATCATCTCTCAGACTAACATACCTTACAGGGGCTTAGACAGGATCGGCTGTGAAAGTGTCAGAGACGTCTCCCTGAGCTCCAAGAGGGGGACAGAAGAGATACGAACGTGACAAGCAAATAAGTTTTCTACAACATCTTATGAACCCCACCCCCAATGATATTGCAGAATTTAAATCCATCTGATGCTCACACAACACATTCTCCCCTTAAAACCTCCACATTTACACTCTTCTCAGCACACTGACTTCAACAGACTCTGTTTAGGACCGCAGTGTTAGATTTCCTGAACGCTTTTGTTTTGTCCTTATTTAATAAATGCCTATGTTGGACTCCAACATTAAAAGAACAACAAACCCCCAGGGTGGTTTCTACGACTGGCCACAGCGCTTACCTTCTGAAGGGTGCTTGATTCTGCACTCATCTCTCCGGAAATAAAGCTCCTCTTCGAGCACTTCCTTAACTCTCCGAGGCGGCTCCACATATACGAATTTCTTCCCTGTTTTACAAGAGACAGTGAAATTGATGCCAGTGCACACGGATGCAATCTGGAGAATAAATCTGCTAGGGAATTAAAGACTCCTGTAAGACCACCGCATCTCCTTGTGAATGAAGTTGCTATATATATATATCCCTGCATTTCTTACTCCTCTTACTGCCCTCTCCCAGTCAAGCTTCCACTAGGCAATTATGCCATGACTCTGCACAGAACATGATTTGTTCAGTTACTCCTGATGTGGATCTGCAGTAGAATATGTAGCTATCAAAGGAGGGTGCTAGTTGCAGCTCTCTATGTCTCTCTGACTGAGAGTGTAGTGGTTAAGAGCGGTGGACTCTAATCTGGAGAACCGGGCTCGATTCCCCACTCCTCCACTTGAAGCCAGCTGGGTGACTTTGGGTCAGTCACAGTTCTCTCAGCCCCCCCAAAATAAACCTAGCTCATCACAAAAAAGAGCTACAGTGTCAGCCTGCCAGACAATCTTCAGATCTCCTGGCTTCCATATGATATTTAATTAATCCATCTCTCTGTTCAGGGGTACCTCATCCTAACCCAGACTCAAGCAGAATGAAGTGGCCCTTGCTTGAAGGACAATGCCTTATAATATTAATCAAGTGCCGTCAAGTTGCAACCAACTTCTGGTGACCTCACACAGGGTTTTCAAGGCAACAGATAAGCACAGGCAGTCTGTCAGTGCCTTTCTCTGCACAGCAACCCTGGTCTTCCTCGGTGGTCTTCCATCCAAATACTAGACATGGCCAACCCTGCTTCGCTTTCGAGATCTGATGTGCTTGGGCTACTCTAGGCTGTTCAAGCTGCTAACAATATCTTGCACCTCCACAACTGTGCTGTCTTAAAGACCAGCAGATCTGTGACATAAACTTGCAGCTTTCCAGCAGGGCCATTTAGTGAAGTGCTGGGCCGGTGACTCAGCTTCCCTACTAAAGAGGCTTGCTAGCACATTCTACTGCCACGGGTTCTGCTTCCCCCACATCTCTCTTGCTTCCAGGTTCACAACTGGAAGGTTGGTACTGTAATAAAAAAACAAAAAAACCAGCCTCACAGCATCGTATCATTATGGCTCCAAGGCCAGCATCTATTTCAAGCTGGGACAGATCCAGGTGTATTAAGAAAACGTGTAAGATCACGAGGCGCTCATCAAGCAATTCATTATGCTGCAATTGAGTTCCTAGCCTATATGATTGTAATTCCAATTTCAAGAGATACCCTAAGGATACAGAACTGATGATAGCTTGACTATTGGGTGTTAGAAAGTGTCGTCAAGACGCAGCTAACTTATGGTGACCTTGTGGGGTTTTCAAGGCAAGAGGTGCTCAGAGGTGATTTGTCATCGCCTGCCTGCATGGCAGGTACCAGAACAGTGTAGTGGTTAAGAGTGACAGACTCTAATCTGTAGAACTGGGTTTGATTCCCCACTCCTCCACGTGCAGCCTGTTGGGTGACCTCAGGCCAGTCACAGTTCTCTTAGAACTCTCTCAGCCTCACCAGCCTCACAAGGTGCCTGTTGTGGGGAGAGGAGGGGAAGGCGATTATAAGCCACTCTGAGACACTAGAGGCCTGTTGGGTGACCTTGGGCCAGTCACAGTTCTCTCAGAACTCTCTCAGCCCCACCAACCGCACAAGGTGCCTGTTGTGGGGAGAGGAAAGCATTATAAGTTACTCTGAGACACATGAGACCTGTTGGGTGACCTTGGGCCAGTCACAGTTCTCAGAACTCTCTCAGCCCCACCAACCGCACAAGGTGCCTGTTGTGGGGAGAGGAAAGCATTATAAGCCACTCCGAGGCACATGAGACCTGTTGGGTGACCTTGGGCCAGTCACAGTTCTCAGAACTCTCTCAGCCCCACCAACCTCACAAGGTGACTGTTATGGGGAGACAAAGGGAAGTTGATTGTAGCTGCTTTCTTCTCCTGCCTCTGTGTAGCAACCCAGGACTTTCTTGAAGGTCTCCCAACCTAGTCCTAACCAGGTCTGACCCTGCTTAGCTTTTGAGATCTGACAAGATCAGGCTAACCTAGGCCATCCAAGTCAGGGCAATCTGACTATCAATTGAAATTCCCCTCGTTAAGATTTTGTATTCTTTTTAAAGGCCCTTAGTAACCCCGAGAACCTGTGTGTGCGTTGCTTTAAAAAAAAAAAAAAGGTTCTGTAATAAAGTAATTCCAACTTTTCACCAAGATTGAATTCTGCAACCCATATACAGTTCCACAGGTTAAACGGAGTTGCCCGGTTTCTCTTATTTGTCTGTTCTTCACTGTTCATCATTTCGCAGAATAGTTTTTCCTCATCGTGGGTAGGGACAATGAGTCATCACCTAACAAACAACACAGGGACAATGAGTCATCACCTAATAAACAACATCCCACTTAGCCTCTATTAACCGGACCTGTGCTTGATCTCACCAGGCAGCTGGCAGACCTAAATTACACAGAATAATCAAATAATCAGACATCCCATCAGATCGCAACACACCTTGTACGCAAACATGCTTCGATGCACAAAGACTTGCTTTTAAAAGGACAGAAGTAATTCTCAAGAATCTGAATATTGTGACCGTGACCTCATTCGGCGCTTTTTCTCCACTCCCAGGGAATTCTACCATGTACACAGGCCTGACGGCAGTCTTTATAATCTCAAAACGCATTTTGTTTGTTTCAGAATATATAGCTTCATAGAGTGCCCTCTGGTGATAAAAACAGAGAAATTCCCTGTTTGCCTTTTCGCTCTCCTATCTATGTAACTTCTCCATATATGTAATAAGACCACGTTGGCTGCTCTGAACTCCTTGGAGGAAGCGCAGGATAAAATATATTAACCATCGCACGTTCAGCTTTCCACAGTTTAATATCTGCATTTTCAAAACTAATGTCCCAGCTGAATGGAGTTTCACTTACATCAGTGTTTCTAAAACTTTTGAGGCTAAAGGCACACGATTTTTTGGTTCTGAACTAAAATCGGAAGCCTACTTCACTCTTACACGTAACACATTTTATTTTTGGATTGCAGAGGCAAATTCCAGAGAAGCAGCTGTGTTAGGGAGCAGTCGTAAGCAGTTCCTACTGTGCGACACTAAGCAGTTAACGCTGTTCTAAACTCAACTGACTTTAGTGGATTTAGAAGTGTGGGAAGCAGAGTGGCTATGCAATGGCAAATCACCTCCATTTTTTCTCTTGCCTTGAAAACCCTACGGCAGGCATGTCCAACTTCGAACAGGTAGTGGTCTATTTTTTTCTGGCCAAAAGTGCCGGTGATCTACCACCATGAAAATAAAGTTTCAAATTAGATTTTAACCCACTAAGGTTGGGTTCCACCCCCCCCCCATTATAAATTAACTCGTAAGCAAAATAAGCAAAAACAAAACAAAGAGACGCAGATCCAGAAAGAACTGCAAACATTTTTTTATTTTTTATTGAGTTATAACTTTCTTTATCTTTCTCAATAACTTTCGTTAACTTTTATTCAGAGTTATTTGTGTTAAATGTAGGTCAAGTATTGATCCAGGCTGACCTTGCGCAATCTTTAAAACTTCGCTCTTGCTCATTAGTGAGACCATTAGTGAGACCTAGTGGGGCTGGTGATCGACCTCTGACCCCTCCGCGATCTACTGGTAGATCGCGATCTACCTGTTGGACATACCTGCCCTACGGGGTCACCAAAAGTTGGCTGTAACTTGACAACGCCTTCCTCCATCTCTACCATAAAGCTTCTAAATGGCCCAGGCTAGCCTGATCTTACACACCCAGGGAAATGCTGATTGCCACTTTGGGGTCAAGAAGCAATTTTTCTCCAGGCCAGTTTGGCCCGGGATCCTGGAGGGTTGCTTTTTTTTTTTTGTCATCTTCTGGGCATGGCACAGGGGTCACTGGTGGTGTGGGACGGAGGTATTTGTGAATTTCCTGCATCGTGCAGGGGGTTGGACTATATGACCCTGGAGGTCCCTTCCAACTCTATGATTCTATGATCTCAGAACCTAAGCAGGGTTGGCTTTGATCAATACTTGGATGGGAGACCACCAAGGAACTCCAGGGTTGGTATGCAGAGGCAGGAAATGGCACAACACCTCCATTATTACTGTTCTTATTGTTATTATTGTTACTACTAAGATTTTATTGTTTTATTGGATTTTATGCATGGGCTGTTGCCCCTGTAAGCTGCCCTGAGCCCGCTCTGCGGGGAGGGCGGGGTAAAAATGCCTAAATAAATAAAATAAATAAATTTGTCTCTTGCCTTGAAAACTCTACAGGGTCGCCAAAAGTAGGCTGTGACTTGACGACCCAAGCTTCCGCCACCAACTCTGCTCGGGATTATGCAGTGACTCTTTTACAACAAAAACAGAGGACTGGCAGCAAGTCTTGGCTGCGTTCAAGCAGACTCACACCACAGCAGACATTCCACTTCCATCATCTGGCAGAATGCACAAAACATAAATGTTCTGGAGGACATTTTTATAAAGGGATTAAAACTGTTGTGTAACAGAACAGCTCAAGAGGTCACTTTTATTAGAAGAGCATAGGATAGTAGCTTACGGCAATGCTTCTGGTACCTTATCACCTTACTTTTACTGCATTCCCTTCTGTCTTTGTAACCCATTTTTTAACTTTGTGGTATGTCCTGCCTTAACAGGTTAATTTTTTGTTTGCATTGTTCCCCCCCCCCCCCCCCAACCCCCCTCTCCGTCCTGATTAGTTTCTTGGACATTTTATGCCTTCTGATTGAATTTTTAAAATATATTTTGTAATCTGCCTTGAGTCTCAGGGACAAAAGCAAGCACTAAACATCTTAGATCAGGGGTGGCCAAACTTGCTTAACGTAACAGACACACAGAATAAACATCAGATGTTTGAGAGCCACAAGACATGAACAAATATTGCACACACATTTTTATTGAAAAATATGCAAATTTGCTTTTTATTAACATTAAATTAGACTGTGTGAGAGAGCCGCATGTGGCTCCCAAGTTGCAGTTTGGCCACCCCTGGCTTAGATAAATCCTTTCATAAGGCATCATGGTCAAATGGGAAGTCTCCCTTTTGATTGACTTTAGTATGCTGGTACCAGAGTATACTTTTTAAAAAGACCAGAGCCTTTTTATGTAGGGAATAAAACGAAACCTGCCTATAGGTCATTATGTGCAATTATATCATTAACATACACTGCCCTGTCTACACACAGAAACTATGTGCTGGGAAGTTACTTGCTACTTCCAGAGAGGTATATGTACGATACGCATATGTATGATGATCAAAAGTGACAATCTACACATTTGTTTTCTTACAGAGAATCCAGAATAGGTTGGTTGGTTAAACTGTCCATGAGTGCTAAACTAAAGGTAAAGGTTCCCTTGCTCGAAAGTCAGTCGAATCCGACTCTAGGGTTGCAGTGCTCATCTCCGTTTCAAAGCCGAAGAGCCAGCGCTGTCCGAAGACATTTCCGTGGTCATGTGGCTGGCATGACTAAACACCAAGGCGCATGGAACGCTGTTACCTGCCCACTGAAGTGGTACCTATTTATCTACTTGCAATTTCTTGCTTTCGAACTGCTAGGTTGGCAGGAGCTGGAACTAGAGATGGGAGCTCACTCTGTCTTGCGGCACCCGGGTCTCGAACTGCTGAACTACCGACCTTCCACAGCCTGCAGTTCAGCATCTTAACCACTTGAGCCACCGCAGCTACCAGGGCGTCAACTCCCGCTAGGGAGCTGAGGTAGCAAACGTCACCTCCTCCTCATCTTTTGGTCAATCTCCCACCAGTGGCCTGGATCTGAAAAGACATCAGGGCACCCACCATTGTATTTTAATCAATGTGATTTGACATCTGATTTCTCTGTTTTTACACAGTATTCATCCTGTGTAAACTGTCATTTTAACATTGTTTTAATTATACTAACTGATGTAAACCGCCCTGAGCCTGTTTATGGAAAGAGTAGTCTATAAATCAATGGAGTAAGGGCCTGACCTGAATAGACCAGGCTAACCCAATCTTGGAAGCTAAGCAGGGTGGGAGACCTCCAAGGAACATCAGGGTAGTGACACGGGGGCAGGCAATGGCAAACCACCTCTGAACGTATCTTGCCTTGAAAACCCTATTGGGGTCGCCATAAGTCAGCCGCGACTTGACGGCACACACACAATAGGATGAGATTGTATATTTATTTATGGGCTGGGCAGTTTCACAGTAGAAATGGTGTGTGATGATAGGGCCATAACCCTGAAGGTGGGCTGTATCACTGGCAATGGGACAGCTGAGGCTCCACTTCCATTGCTAAGGTCCCACTGAAAGGGGTGAAAAGATGGTGGGATGGGATGTCCCTTCTAGAAAAAGACCATAATTCACTGGGGGTGGCGTGAACACAGGCTGCAAAGATGGGAGCAATTTTAGGGCATGAAGATAACCTCTACAGCGGGAGGAAATGACGTAATATAGGCATCCAAACAACCACATGGTAGAAAATCCTACTGCTTCTTAGGAAGACAGTATGTATGGGGTCTCTTCCTTCCTTCCTTCCTTTGGGTCAATGCCAACCCACTGGGAGCTTATTCCACTTGACAACCATTGTAATACGTTTCTTGTGGAAGGAAGGAAGACAGCCCACAGGTTCTTACCACATTTCCCACTGTGCAGTTCCTTGGCTTCCTGAATTACTTCACAGGAGGTGTTTTTGCCATGGGTTGTGATGCTTGATGCTTGTACCAAGTGTTACAGCTTCTTCACCCATGTTTCTACGTAATACGCTGATCACCTGTACTGACCCAATGCAGTACCCACCATGGAGTGGTATCACATGTGGGATCAGACCAGCAGTCTGTCTTGTCCAGTATCCCGTTTCCCATCATGGCTGACCAGCAGGGCGCAGATCTCAATGGCTTTCCAAGTTGCTGGCCCACACTCAGCAACTGCTGTACGGCCTCAGAATATTCAAGTCCCACTCAACTACATCACAGCTACTGGTGGACCTCTCCATGAATCTGTCTGATCAAATCCACCTTACTGTATTTTGTTATCTGGGTATTACTTGTCTTGGATCCTGGTGCAGAAAGGTGGGTTGCCAACCTCCAGATGGGGCCTGGAGCGCTCTCAGAGTTACAAATGATCCCCAGATGACTGAGCTCAGTTTCCCTGGATAAAATGGCCACTTTGGAGGGAGGATGCAATGACATTATAACAGGCTCAGGTCCCTCTCCTCACCAAAACCACCCCCCCAATATCTCCTGGAATTTCCCAACCTGGAGTTAGCAACCGTGAAGCCAAGCTTATAAATTGTTCAAATAAATATGTATCACTGTAATTAAGCAAACTCCGGAGCATGATGGAAGACAGGAGGGCCTGGCGTGTGATGTGGTCCATGGGGTCGCGCAGAGTCAGACTCAACTGTGCAATTGAACAACAACAATCACTGTATCTTGTGGCAGCGATATTCACAAGACAATTAGGTAGTGACAAGGGGCGGGACCCGCGATACTCGCAGGGGGGGAGGGACCTCCACACATATGAGGCAGAGGAGGAAGCAGCAGGAGGAGGTAAGTTCCCCCCCTCCCGCCGGTTCCACCCAGATCGGAAGGGCGTCGATGAGGGAGTTCACAGAGCCTTCCCTGCGCATGCGCAGGGGACGCTCTGTCACTTTTGGGGGGATTTAAGTATCCCCCCGATATTTTTTCCGGGTTTTTAGATTTTTGTGCACACCTGGGGACTGCCCCAAGTGTGCACAAACATCTCCCTCCCCCCCAGGGGCCCCCGATGTGCGGAAATAAATATCCGCACACAGGGGGCACCTTGGCTATTAGATATATATAGATGAGACAAGACCTCATTTTGTAGAAAAGGTTCAAGACAAAGTGCTAGAGCATCTGCTTGGTATGCAGAAGGTCCCAGGTTCAATCCCTGGTATTTCCAGTTAAAAGGTCTGGCAGGAGGTGATTGTGAAAGACCTCTACCTGAGACCTTGGTGAGATGCTGCCAGTCTGAGTAGACAGTACTGACTTTGATGGACCAAATGTCTGATTCAGTATATGGCAGTTTCCTGTGTTCATATTCTCTCCTGTGTTCCTGTGGGGGGAGGCTCAATAGTAATCCACCCCCCTAACACATTGGGAAAAGGGGGGGCAGCCTCACGCCAAGGGCAAAGCCAGTCTATGCAGAGATGCAGTGATCTATTAGGCAGCACACCCTGCATAAAACCTGGAACCCAAAAGGGCGGCAGCCAGTGTTCCCTCTAAGCTGAGTTGGTGTGAGCTAGCTCACAGTTTTTTAGCCTCCAGCTCACAGATTTTTGTCTTAGCTCAGGAAGGAGGGCTCCAGAGCAAACTAATTGATGCAGCAGCCAAATCACTTGCTCACAACTTTAATGCCAGTAGCTCACAAAGTAGAATTTTTGCTCACAAGACTCCACAGCTTAGAAGGAACATTGGTGCGGGCACCCCCACAAGGGAGGAAGACATTAGTAGCTGATTCGGAGGCCTCCCGCCCGGGCCCGGGTCTCTCCTTAACGGAGCCGCCGCCTCCCTCCTCCCCACCCCGGTTTCACTCACAGGGCTGCCCCCCTTCCTTGTACTCCGCATAGATCCGGCTCCCCGAGTCCCCAGCCCTCGACTCCGCTTGCTCCCCGGCCGCCTCTCTCATGCCTCGGCCCGCTGATGCTGCTTCTGCCGCCGCCAATGCCAGCAACATCTAAGCCCAGCAAGTGGGACGCGCAGGCCGGTTGCCATAGGAGCCCAGCCCGAAGCGGCGGCGGCGGCGGCGGAGGAGGGAGGGGAAGGGCAGAGCGCGAGACGGAATAAGGAGCTTGTGACTTGAGCGCCCCGGTGGAATTCGGGCTGAGCCAGGCAGGCAAGCCCCAGGAGGGAAGGAAACGGCGAGGAGCCGCGCCAGGCCTAGAGGGAGGGAAAGCGCCAAGGCCCGGGGCCTGCTGGGGTTGGCATGGCAACCGGGCCAGGCTAAATTCCCCGAGTGCCACAAGGCTGAGTTTGGAAGGCCCCGGGGGTTTTATATATTTCAAGACGGGTGGCCGTGTGTTAGTCTGTCGGTAGCAGTAGAATAGAGTCCAGTAGCACCTTAAAGACTCACATTTGTGGGCAGGGTGGGAGCTTTCGTCAGTCACTGCTCACCTCTTCAGGCACCTGGAGAATACCTGTGCGAGGGTTGCCATGGGAAGGCACCCGGGATACTGAATAATAGGAAATCTACTCCTGTTACTGCCTTTTCTCTTGCAAAGTGCAGGTTACTTTAACAGCCGCATGACAGACATTCGACTGGTGAAGCTCTGTCACCAGCTGAATTTTCTTAATTCCTGCATATCACCCAGCTGTTAACAGCACAGGAGCAGTGCTGGGGTGGGGGGAAGAAGTAAAGGTAAAGGTTCCCTTGCTCGAAAGCCAGTTGAGTCCGACTCTAGGGTTGCGGTGCTCATCTCCGTTTCAAAGCCGAAGAGCCAGCGCTGTCCTAAGACATTTCCGTGGTCATGTGGCCGGCATGACTAAACACCAAGGGCATACATGCATATTGGAGTCTTTACTGGGACTGTTTGTTAAGCACACTTCAGTGTACAAGACTACTGTTTGTGCACCTAGGCGAGTTGTTGAGGAAATGTGCATTTTGTGGTACTCTTTGAAAATGCTCTTGCATGCCTTAGCAGCTGTCTGATTCTCTGGAAATGCCTTGTTCTTATTTACTCTTTTTGTAGCCACATTTCTAGCTGAGACTCAAGGTGGAATGCAAAATAAAAAACAATGCAGTCAGACTGTATAAATGACCGGTGAGCAACACAGCAGGACTAGTATTACCAAATTAGTGGAGATAGTGTGCAACGCAACTGCCTAGCCAAGGTGTAGCGAAATTCCAAAAGCAGAAAATAATACAGTAAATTACTGTTTACTTTTTATAACCTTGTGTGTGTGGGGGGGTTGCTGTTAACATGATAGTCTTTACCCCCCCCTCCAAGACCTTGGATCCTACTGGAAAGAGTTTAATAGAGGAACCTCACCGAAGCTAAAGTAATGGGCTTCCTGGGAATATAATGCCTTGTGTATCATGCTAGAAGAACAGGTGGGAGAGATATAAATACAATACATAAAAATAACTAGTACATACAAAACACCTACTTTTGTCTAATAGATGGCTTGGAGACTCTCCCAACCCTTGCCTACAGTTCTTGGGGACTTTGTTATAAGGGCTATATATATCACAAAGGTCAAGGTAGGATAAAGATACAAATTGTACACTTTTTTTTGTCCCCCCCTCCACATTTAAAGAAACATGCTGCAAGAAGGAAACATGTAGCACCAGAGACGTATTCTTAAATTCTCTCCATGTAGTTTGTAGAGAGGACAAACCCCATTTAACAGGAAGAAAAGACATAATTAAGTGACAGAGCAAAATGTATTGCATGCAGAAGGCCGCATGTTTAATCCCTGGCATCTCAGATCATCTGGGAAAAGGCCACTGCCCAACACCCTGGATTGCGTGTGTTGCGTTAAGTGCCGTCAAGTCACTTCTGACTTATGGCAACCCCGTGAATTAATGACCTCCAAAATGTACGATTGTTTACAGCCTTGCTCACGTCTTGCAAACTAAAGACCGTGGCTTCCTTCATCGTGTCGATCCATCTCGTGTTGGGTCTTCCTCTTTTCCTGCTGCCTTTGACTTTTCCTAGCATTATTGTCTTTGCCAGTGAGTCTTGTCTTCTCATAATGTGACCAGGGCTTTTTCACACAAGGTCTTTGCTCCAGCTTGGCTTCTTAACTGCCTGGCGCTGCAGCAAACACCCGATATGGAAAAGCCTCCAGCCAGAGACAATAGTGGGCTCCATAGACCAATAGTGTGACTCACTATAAGGGCAGAACCAGATGTGACACTGGGAATTCCATGAATGGCACACACAGAGATTCCCCCCACTTTAAACAGCAAATACTTGGGACCCCAATCAAGACCAGGAGTGCAGTGCCATGGGAGATTAATCCTTCCCCACTCAGATGATTTTCCTGACATGAAACAGTTCCTTGGCTACTATTTGTCCTGTTAGGGAAACATACAGCACTTTCATATAGTTCCAGGTGGTCAGCCATGTTGGTCTGAAGCAGGAGAACAAATTTAGAGTCCAGTGACACCTTTAAGACTAACAAAGGTTTATTCAAGGTGTGAGCTTTCGTGTGCACGAAAGCTCACACCTTGAATAAACCTTTGTTGGTCTTAAAGGTGCCGCTGGACTCTAAATTTGTTCTAGTATTTTCGTATGTTTCTGTACATGTTTGATCATATCACTTGCCAGAAAAAAACTGGGGTTCTTTCTTTCATAGCCTCAGATAAATAAACACAAACAGATTTTAAGGAAACCACATTGCACCAATTTTTACAAAAAAACCCCAAATCCCTAAACTCTAGGCAGGCCTTTATTTGGAAGTATGCACATTTGTGCATTTCCCCTAAATACTGAGAACTCCATTAGCCCTCCCAAGTACCACTCTCATCCAATCACAAATCACTTCAATTAATAATTTTGTCAAGACGGTAACAAAAGACCTCCTCAGGTTTAAATTTTATTTTTAAATAAGACTCACAGAAGAATTACAGTATACCGTATTTCAAGTGTTACCTGTATAAGTTCAGTTACATTCAGTTTTCATGCAGTTTGGAAAAGTTAACAAGTATCTCACAGAAGTGTTGCTTTTTTTAAAAAAAAGTTAAAGTGAAGTTTGACAGAATCTGTATGTCATTTCATACAATAGATACTCCAGTTCTCTCCTTGGTTACAATGCACGAGGGCTTCACAGCTTTCCCTGTACAGTAGCTTGCACGACCTGAAGACATGCTATTAATTAACATATCTACATTATGCATAACCCGCTTATTGGTTGGGGATCCCAGCCAAAGAATTCTGAGACCTGCATCTCCGTGAAGCTGCTGGCTATCCTTTTCTGAAGGCAGCTCCACATTCTCACAAAGCCGCAATCCTCAGTGTCCTTTGGAGAAAGCGGCAACAGTCACACTGGTTCCAAAGAGGTTTAAAACGTGTGGTGTAACTGTAAGGTGGTAATCTGTAAACTGCTTAAAATCGGAGAACTGGCTTCAATATCAAACTCTGAAAAACAAGAGAGCTTAGAATGGCAGACTTTTGCTAAGCAGTTCATTTGGCAGTGCATTCCATAAATCTCAGTGAGGCTTTGTTTCTAGTTAAAACGGTTAACAGATGACTATTTAAAAAGATGTTTCGGTGAGACTGGCATTGTAAGCACATCTGAGACACAGGGAGTTTGTTTGTAAGTACACAACCATGGTTATGTAATCCTGAGTACATCAGCTCAAATTATCACACTGTAATGCCTGAAACCTAGCCACATCTACATGCAAGGACACTCCATTTACTTCAGTGGGATTTGCTTCTGTGCAACAGATAATTAGAATTTGTGGCTTTTAAGGATTTAGGCTTCTGGACACAAGCCACTTGGCTTCAGAGTTCCCCCACTTGACCTCCCACTGAAGTTAAATGGGTCTCCTTAAGAGAGAAGTGGATTTTGGGATACAAGTTTGGGTCATAGCCTTAAAGGAAGAATTCGACAGCAAGCAGAATGACAACATACCACAAGCAATCCGACCTTGAGATCTATTTTTTTAAAACTTAGGGTAGATTCACACAAGACATTCAAAAAAGTGAACAAACACTCAAGAAGCAGCAGAGGACACGGAGTCCCAGCCTCACAGGTTCATCATCCCCACAAAAGTTAAACCTTAACTCCTGCAATTTTGAGCTCTCATTCAGCACATTCTCAGCCTGCTGCACAGAAAACACACACACACACAGAGTTAATGCTGTTTCACACCTTTATACACAGCAAGCAGAAGAATGAGTTTGTGTCTACTTTTTGCCTGATACAAGTCCATATGTGTCACAGGAAAACTGGCATACTGGGGGGGGGGGGTTAGACAACATGTACTGTGTACATGAATGTCTTCAGATTCGCACATACAAAATTATGTGAGATGTCCCTAAGTGTTTTCAAGACTGGTAACCCAATGAGTCTGACTATAGGCTACTTTTTAACTTATGAATGACACTCAAGGGCTTCCACAAGTTATTCCCATATTTGGAGCAGACGAAAGGCAAGTGATGTGTCAGCCAGACTGGAGAATGATGATACTACCAAGCGGGTCCTGGAACTTCACAGTACCTGCTCAGATGTGCCGTCTCATGCACCAGGACTGGCTTTACTACCATAAACACCTGCTTGTGTCACCATCACGACAGAACTGCTCATCTGTGTCTCCAATTTAACCCATGAGTGGGAAAGAGTAAGGCTCTAGGACCCTATTTGCAGATCCACCTAGAAAACACTACAGCCCCTGCATCATTTTGACACGTTTAGGTGCTCTTATGACCACTTATAAAAGCCTCAATCTGTATTTATTTAAAGAAAGGCAAACAATTCATGGCAGGCATACCATATTACAGCAGAGATTGGATTAGCTCCTTTCGCACTTGGCCATAATATTCACTGCACTGTTGATTTCAAGATGAGTCAGTCTAACGGCTGAGAAAATAGATTAGAGGGGCATCTGGTGACTTCAGTACTGTTTGGAGGTTGTTTTGGCTGTTTGTCTCTGATTTTCCTTTCCAGTTAACCGTATCCCCACCCCCAAAGCTTTTCAAGTAAAAGTGAAAAATGCTTCACAAATATAAGGGTAGTGTAGTTTATATTATTATAAAAATAATGACATCTCCACAAAATGAGACCTCATTTCAGTATTTCATAGAGTAAAGCTATACTGAGAGGCTGGGTTGAAAGCACCAACTCTGAGTGCAATTACGAAGTGTACTTATTACAAAAAAAGGCGGCAGGAAACAATTTGGACATTCAAATGTTGACAATGACTAAGAATCCGACACAGAATTTGTGCAACTTTCGACAATCTCGAACAGGTAGTGATAGATGTCAGTCCTGCGAGCAATATCATAGGCCGTTTCATCCAGGTTGTTTTTGAGATTTGGCTTCAAATAGCGATTCATCAGCAGGAGTTCAAGGGTTTCCTTACTCTCCCTGTTTCCTGAAGCAAGGTGCAGGGGCGTTAGCAAGCCATTGGTCTGAGCGTTGATATCTGCACCGTGTTGAAGCAAGAACGAGGCTATCTTTGTGTTGTTCCACTTGCATGCGCTGTGGAGCGGTGTCCAACTGTCCACCGTTAAAGCATGAACATCTGCGCCATGGGCAATCAATTCACGCACAACTTCTAAGTGGCCGTTGTAGGCAGCACGGTGGAGAGGGGTGTATCGGTCTTCATCCCGGACATTTACTGGAGCAAGATTTTCAGACAGGAGCCTTTGTACCGTGCTAAGCTGTGGAAAAGAGGCAGATTATATTGAGCCTATGGGCTCAGAGGTTCCCAAACTTATTTGGCCTACCGCCCCCTTTTCAAAAAAAAAAATTACTCAACGCCCACATGGACATCTACCTTCAAGAAGCGAACAAAAAGATGCATTTTGTGGATCTGCACCTGGATCGTTCCAGCCCACCTGGATCGTTCCAGTGCCCCCAAGGGGGCGATATTGCCCACTTTGGGAACCAGTGGATGAACCAGTTTCAGAGCCAGTGCAGAAGAGAAGAAAAGAAGAGATTGGATTTATACCCCGCCCTTCACTACCCAAAGGAGTCTCAGAACAATTTACAATCTCCTTTCCCTTCCCCTCCCCACAACAGACACCCTGTGAGGTAGGTGGGGCTGAGAGAGTTCTTTCGAGAACTGCTCGTGAGAGAACAGCTCTGAGAGAACTTATGACTGACCCAAGGTCACACCAGCAGATGCGAGTGGAGGAGTGGGGAATCAAACCCGGTTCTCCCAGATTTGAATCCACACTCCTAAGCACTACACCAAACTGGCAAAAGATAAAGTGCTGCCTTTGGTGCCAGTTTGGTGTAGTGGTTAAGTGCGTGGACTCTAATCTGGGAGAACGGGGTTTGATTCCCCACTCCTCCACTTGCACCTGCTGATGTGACCTTGGGTCAGTCACAAGCTCTGGCACAGCTGTCCTTGAAAAAGAGCAGTTTCTGTCAGAGTTCTCTCAGCGCCACCCACCTCACAGGGTGTCTGTTGTGGGGAGGGGAAGGGAAAGGAGTTTGTAAGCCACTCTGAGACTCCGAGTGAAGGGCGGGGCATAAATCCAATCTCCTCCTCCTCCTCCTCCTTTGACTGCTGAAGACTCCAGCCCCTTAATCACCTTGGTTGCCTTTTTACTCTTCCTAGCTCTGCAACTTTTTTGAGATACGGCAATCAGACCTGCATACCACATTTGTCCAACTGATCAAAGTCAGACTGTTGCAAGGATAAAAAGAGGTAACGCTGACAGCAGCATTACATAACGCTGCATAAATTAGTGATTTTTGTCATGATGTACAGAAGACAGTGAGACAAGCTTCTGGAAAATGCAAATTCATCTACAAAACCTCCAGTTATTGTGGCAACTAATTCAAAGGCCGACGGTGCATCTGGAACTTGAAAAGCAGGGTTCAAATGTCATTGCAACCTTGTGTCTTCTTTTAGTGACCCCAGGCAAGACACTACCCATTACAATATCATGCCACCCTTCCTCCCAAGAGCTCAGGAAAGCGCAATGGGGTTCTTCCCTCCTCCATTTTATCTTCACAACACCTCTGCGAGGTAGAGTAAGGTGACAGAAAGTGGGGTGACTGGTCACTCACAGTGCAACCCCAAGCAGAGTTACACCCAAGTCCATTGGCATTCGTGGCCTCCGACTCCATTATTATGTGTAACTCTGTTTAGGATTGCACTGTCAGTGAAGCCTGAACTACATTTTGCATGTGGTCCCAACCAATGTTCCCTCTAAGCTGTGGAGTCTTGTGAGCACAAATTCTACTTTGTGAGGGGCTGGCCTTAAAGCTGTGAGCGAGCGAGTTGGCTTCTGCATAAATTAGTTTGCTCTGGAGCCGTCTTTCCTGAGCTGAGATAAAAATGTGTGAGCTAGAGGCTAAAAAACTGTGAGCTGGCTCACACTAACTCAGCTTAGAGGGAACACTGGTCCCAACAGGGACTTGAAGCAGGATGCTCCATGGCAACTCAGTTTGCAGCACCGCGGGGCCCCAGTTCTGGTTGTGCCAATGGCACTGGGTGCGGGAGGAGCTTCTACACCATAATCCCGACCAGAATTGGGCCAACGCAGCACTTCTAGATTGGGTTGCCATGGGAACTCACAGCTGGCATCCTGCTGCAAGTCATCCTTTGGGTCCACATGTAAAATGTCACTTGCAGTCTGGGCCTGAGTTTCTTGGCCGAAGAGAGACGAACTCTGGTCTCTCTAGTCCTACTGGCACTCAAACCACTAGAGCGCACCGGTTTTCATGAAACGAGAGTCCAGAATTCTTAACTGTCTGAGCATAGCCTTACTTAACTGTCTGCACAGGCCTTACTTAAGACCATTCCAAACATTCACCAATACTTACTCGATTTTTTTCAGCTGCCCAGAGCAAGAGCTTATCTGGGTTGTTCTCCAGCTTTTTCTCTTGGGCTTGGTACCACTCCTCATTTTTTTCATCCTGATCATCCTCATCAGAATCTCCAGACCAAAGACTCTGTGTTCCGGTGGGGATCAGGTGCCTGTGCGTCTCCAGCAATTCCAGTTGGTTAAAGCTCTCGGCAAAGTCTGTATCATCTTTCGCCTCCTCGTCGATATTCTTCTCCGTCAATTCCTCGCTTTCATCCATCTTTGTAGATTCCAATACGGCAGCCTTAAATAATCATAGCGAAAGAAATCCACTCCTTTTTCTGGCTCGTTTCATTTCCAGGTGGTTCATCATCAGATAAAACGTATGACTATTATGAAAAGTGAATGGAGAACGGCATATATAGCAGTAACACCATAACACCCTTTAGGGGAAGGAATATTAAAACTGGGTTAATACAGTGACCAGAGGCAAAGGGAGACAGTTTTGGTGCCTTTTAATGATACAGAAGGAGGACTCTGGGCAGGCTGGCTCATCACACAAGAGTGACCTAACCCACCTGTCTACATTTAACTATTACTCCCTCTATGGAAGGTCCAATAAATTATTAGGTATTAAATGTAACCACATCTACATCATGTAAATCCTATTAATTTCAACAGGTCTCTTACAAGAGAAATGTGCATAAGGATCATGACCAACTAATCCAAACAGGTCTCATCAGAATCCCCATTTTTCAGTTCAGGGGTCTTCTTACAGACCACCCTGAAGGGGCCCTCTAGGGGATCTCTCTACTAAACCCTGGGCTTTACTCAGGATTTCTGATCAGCAACCGAACAGCTTGTTTCCAGGGTCAGCTTTCTCAATATTTTTTTATTTTCAAAACATACCAAACATAAAAACAAACATACAAACATAAAATGGGTACATTATTACATATTTTTTACTCTGCATTAAACTACCTCATACATAATTTAAAACTATGTCAATTTTCCACCTTCTGCATATCATATTTTGCAAATATATAATTCTTATTTTCTATTAACTTAACCTTTGTCTAAGCATTTTGATATATTCTTCCATTAGCTATATATAGTTATATGGTTCTTATTTTCTTCTGACTTGGATTATCTAAACATCTCTCTCTCCATATACTATTTTGCTTTCCATACATATAGATACAATACACACTACATACATCATTATCTGCAGAAGTGAGCAGTGACACATGAAAGCTCACATCATGCCACATATTTTGTTAATCTTTAAGGTGCTACTGGACTCTTGCTCTTTTCTATATACATCAAGATACCCATACATCTACTATATATATACCCCACATACATAGGCATGTATGGTATCTATAATACACACATACGCACAAGACGTACATATCAATACATAGATTCAGTTAGTCGGCCATGTTGGTCTGAAGCAGTACAACAAATTTAGAATCCAGTGGCACCTTTAAGACTAACGAAAGTTTATTCGAGGTATGAGCTTTTATGTGTATGTATGGTAACCTAGCAGTTCGAAAGCAAGAAATTGCAAGTAGATAAATAGGTACCACTTTGGTGGGAAGGTAACAGCGTTCCGTGCACCTTGGTGTTTAGTCATGCCGGCCACATGACCACGGAAACGTCTTCGGACAGCGCTGGCTCTTCGGCTTGGAAACGGAGATGAGCACCGCAACCCTAGAGTCGGATTCGACTGGCTTTCGAGCAAGGGAACCTTATGGTATATATAATATGCACAAGATGGACATATCAATACATAGATCCAAGTTGGTCAGCTGTGTTGGTCTGAAGCCGTACAACAGATTTAGAGTCCAATGGTACCTTTAAGACCAACAAAGGTTATTCAAGGTATGAGCTTTTGTGTGCATGTATGGCATCTATAATATGCACATATGCACAAGATGGACATATCAATACATAGATCAAGTTAGTCAGCCGTGTTGGTCTGAAGCAGTACAACAGATTTAGAGTCCAGTGGCACCTTTAAGACCAGCAAAGGTTTATTCAAGGTATGAGCATTCGTGTGCGTATATGGTATCTATAATGTACACATACTCACAAGACATACATATCAATACATAGATCCAATTAGTCAGCCGTGTTGGTCCGAAGCAGTACAACAAATTTAGAGTCCAGTGGTACCTTTAAGACCAACAACGGTTTATTCAAGGTATGAGCTTTTGTGTGCACACGAAAACTCATACCTTGAATAAACCTTTGTTGGTCTTAAAGGAGCCACTGGACTCTAAATTGGTTATATCAATACATGATATGGATGGATACACAGAGACACACCACACGTTCATAGAGGCACATACACACATGTATAACATACTCATAGGACAAGCAGCACCTGAAGCAGCCGATTCACCCCCAACCCCGGATGATCCCAGCTCCACTGGAGAACGGAACGCAACCAAGCTCAAACCGCCCCACTCACGTTCACCACGCAGCTCCCTTCTGGGCGGGGCCAAGGAATGACCGGCAGCGCCCCCAGAAGGCCGGCCGGCCGGCCCGCCTTCCCTCGCTCCGAGGACACTTCCGGCCTACCTTCGGCCTGACCTCCCTCTCGTCGGCTATTACTGCGCCTGCGCACGGGGAACGGGCTGCGGTCTCCACCAGTGGCGGACTACCCGGGACGATGCGAAGGCGGTGGATTGGGTGGGCGGGATCGGCGGAGTTATCGCGAGAACTGCCCGCGCTCTCTGGAGAGAGGGGGCTCGGCTGTGCTTCTGTGCCCACGCGCGCGGTGCTATGGAAACCGGAGGCCTGGCGTAGCCGGGAGTTTTCGCGGTAGGCGTGAGCCGCGGGGGTGAGGTGGTGTGGGGGAGAGAGAGGCGCTGTAGGCGGGCCCCCCTCGCGCCAAAAAGGGCCCCGAAGGGAGAGGTTTCTCGTCCCGCATGGCTGCGTTTGCTTTGCTCAGCTCTGTCTAGCAGAGTCCGCTGAGAACAAGAAATTGTGATATAGAAAACGAGGAACATTCAGATCCTGCTATCTCGCCCTCTTTGGACTCCTTGGATAGAAATCTCTGGATTTTATGCAGAAATTTGAACTGAACGCATTTGGTTTTCCATTTGGACTGGACTTGTATGGTTTTCCGTTTAGTAACTAAAATCTATGATTTTGATATGCAACCTTTTGATAAGTGAATGTGCAAAAAAGTAAGACTATCATACGGAAAAATAAGGAAACGTAACTTGTTTGATAACCTTATTTTTTGCACATCGGATCCAATAGCTCCCTCTAAACTGTGGAGTCTTGTGAGCAAAAGTTCTACTTTGTGAGCTGCTGGCACTAAAGTTGTGAGCGAGCGATTTGGCTACTGCATAGATTAGTCTGCTCTGGAGCCATCCTCCCTGAGCGAAGACAAAAATGTGTGAGCCGGAGCTAAAAAACTGCGAGTTAGCTCACACTAACTCAGCTTGGAGGGAACACTGATCGGATCACAGTTTTCTTGTTCTCAGTGGGCTGCGTTTCCTTGGCTGTGACAGCTCTGTCTAGCAGCATTTTGATGCATCATAGCTGCTCTACTCACCCACCCAGTGCAGCAAATCGTCTTACTGGCGCCCCTTGAGGTTTTTATATAGTTATGCTGTTTTGTATCTGTTTTATGGCTGTATTTTATTTTTAAAGCTTTGTATGTTTTTAAGAATATAGAACCTGAGCCTGCTGTGCAGGGAAGGGAGGGAAGCCCGATGAAATAAATAATAGTAATATTGAGGACCCAATAGCCTTGTCGGTTTCTTTGTAGCCTGTATCAGCCTAGTTTAGTTCTCCTTGACCCACAATAGTGCATGGGATTCTACTTTGACTAAGCAGTCAAACGATGCTTTCCCCCCACCGTCCCCAAAACTCCAACCTGATAATGAGAGTTAAGAGGCTGAAAAGTTAAGTAGGTTGCAAGTGGGAGTGGTGCTGATTGGCTTCAAAGTGTGGTTGAATGAGATAGCACAAAACTCTATATCTGAAGAAGTGAGCTATCAAAAACAACGGCCACATCACTGCTCCCTAGCTAGTGGTATTCTACAGGTGTAGCTGTGTGAAAGTGCAATCCTGGACAGCAGCAGCAGTCTGCCACCTTTTTGAGCCTCGGGGCACCTTTGGAATTTTGACACAGGGTGGTGGAGCCAATGATAACTTGGCTGTTGCAGGTCACGGAGCCAACCACAAAATGTCAGGGAGTGAGGTTATGCATGACTCTAATAGGAACTCTTCAGTAGTTTGGTGTAGTGGTTAAGATCGGCGGACTCTAATTTGGAGAACAGGGTTTGATTCCCCACTCCTTCACGTGCAGTTGCTGTGTGACCTTGGGCAAGTCACAGTTCTCTCAGAGCTCTCTCAGCCCCACTTACCTCACAGGGTGTCTGTTGCAGGGACAGGAAGGGAAATGATAACTTGGCTGTTGCAGGTCACGGAGCCAACCACAAAATGTCAGGGAGTGAGGTTATGCATGACTCTAATAGGAACTCTTCAGTAGTTTGGTGTAGTGGTTAAGATCGGCGGACTCTAATTTGGAGAACAGGGTTTGATTCCCCACTCCTTCACGTGCAGTTGCTGTGTGACCTTGGGCAAGTCACAGTTCTCTCAGAGCTCTCTCAGCCCCACTTACCTCACAGGGTGTCTGTTGCAGGGACAGGAAGGGAAGGAGATTGTAAGCCGCTCTGAGACTCCGAGTGAAGAGCGGGGTATAAATTCAATCTCTTCTCTCTCTTCATTTCAGGCAGAAGCTATGTATAACAGTATGCCTTTTAAAATGAACATACTCTTCAGACATTTTCTTGCATACACACAGTTTACCTTCGGCCACGCAGTGAAGATACCTTGTGTTGTAGTGGCAGCTGCCGCCGAAGCAATTGCAAAACAAAATTGCTCAATCAATCAGGTTGCTAGTCTCTGAGGAGAAGTCCTGCTGGGCAAAAAAACCCCACCTTGGCCCCACCCACTCTCCAAAAACATTTGGTGAGTGCCAAGAAAGGTGCCATGGGCACCACACTGAGGACCACTGCTAAGCAATTACAGCCTTTTAAATCTGTTGAAGTCAATTTGCTAGGAAGGGTATAGCTATGTTTAGAACGGCACTGTTAATCTGCTGCAGCAAAAATTAACAGGAGTCTCCTGGCACTTTAAGGAGCAGCAGAACTTTATTCCAGCATAAGCAGTTTTGTACCAGAGACACTTCTGGATACATTGCATTTGGAGAAGTGAGCTCGTCTACAAAGTTTATATTGGAATAAAGTTTTGTTGGTCTTTAAGGTACCCTGAGACTCCTGGTTTTCTTCAAGTATCAAACATGTTTTACAGTAATTCTCAAACTCGGCCTTTCTGTGAGCTGCAGTAGCTGTCTGTTATTTTCTGGGTGCAGTTCAAAGTAATGGTAATTGCCTTCAAACTTTGGCCTGGACCCAAAATCTTTGTGAATGTTTCCTGTCAAACAACCAAGCTTAAAACGTTTCAGAAAAACCAGATTACTACTCAAACAGGCATTCAGGATTTAATCTAGTCTGTGTGTTGTACTTCCACTTTTATGTCTCTGTCATGGATTTCCTCTTTTCAAAAATAAATTGGTTTCTTGCTCAAATAGGAAAGCAGTCAGTGCATTCTAAAACTAAAGAAATATTTCTGGCCCCACAGTGGTGATACTCATATTTTTCTTCTGTTCCTTTTAGGTCTTGACTGAAACTGCCTTTCCGAATCTGTTAGCACCACAGGACAGAAGCCTGGTGAATTTTGGCCTATTGGGACTGCAGAAAGATGAGTCCTGCCACGTCCATGTAAGTTCCCCTTATCCAAAACATTCTGTTCTTTGGCAGAGCCATATTTTAGTGGTAGAGTTATATTAAAACCGAGCAGTCATGGTTTCTTCAAAGATACTTGGTATCACCCTTCCAGTTCCTGTCCTTTTTCTCTCCTTACTGGAGTATTAGTTGGTGTAAAGAAAGTCTTCTTTAACAGCAAGGAAAGCTGTATGCAAACACAGAAGGATCTATTTTTGTGGTTATATGCTATGAAACAGTAGTGCTGTGGGAAGGTAGTTCAATAAGTACAGGTTGCTGTAAGTCCAAAATACCCAGCAACTGTCAGTGTAGTTCATTTGCTATGGCCTTATCTCCAAACGCTGAGGTGGCTCAAGTGGTTAAGATGCTGAACTGCAGGCTGTGGAAGGTCAGTAGTTCAGCAGTTCGAGACCCAAGTGTGCCGCATGACGGTGTGAGCTCCCATCTCTACTTCCAGCTCTTGCCAACCTAGCCGTTCGAAAGCAAGAAATTGCAAGTAGATAAACAGGTACCACTTCGGTGGGAAGGTAACAGCGTTCCCTGCGCCTTGGTGTTTAGTCATGCCGACCACATGACCATGGAAATGTCTTCGGACAGTGCTGGCTCTTCGGCTTTGAAACAGAGATGAGCACCGCAACCCTAGAGTCGGATTCGCCTGGCTTTCGAGCAAGGGAACCTTTACCTTTATCTCCAAACAGCCTTTGCTGGGGATGGGTAATTCTGTTGCATCTGTTCATCGTGTGTGATTGGATCATTCAGTCACTCCTGATGTACCAGAATTGCTTGCCCTAAGGGGAGGCAGCCTGGCCCACCTTTCCCTATGAAGAAAGGTTAAAACTTTCCCTATGAAGAAAGGTTAAAACACTTGGGGCTCTTTAGCTTGGAGAAACGACAGCTGAGGTGTGACATGATCGAGGTTTATAAGATTATGCATGGGATAGAGCAGGTTGAGAAAGAAGCACTTTTCTCCCTTTCTCACAATGCAAGAACTTGTGGGCACTCCATGAAATTGCTGAGCAGTCGGGTTAGAACGGATAAAAGGAAGTACTTCTTCACCCAAAGAGTGATTAACACATGGAATTCACTGCCACAGGAGGTGGCGGCGGCTACAAGCATGGGCAGCTTCAAGAGGGAATTGGATAAACAGATGGAGCAGAGGTCCATCAGTGTCTATTAGCCACAAGGTATAGATAGGAAGGCTGGGGCAAGTGATGCACTGTATTCTTGGTGCTTGGGGGGGGGGCAACAGTGGGAGGGCTTCTAGTGTCCTGGCCCCACTGGTGGACTTCCTGATGGCACCTGGTATTTTTGGCCACTGTGTGGCAGAGTGTTAGACTGGATGGGCCATTGGCCTGATCCAACATTGGCTTCTCTTATGTTCTTATCTCTTCATGAATCCTTGCTCTGTGTCTTTCTCTTTCAAATGGGGAGTTGTCTTATGGGTTGATACAGTAGAATACAGTGTCCTGTTTTGTTTTTCCTATATTCGCTTTAGGGATGAAGAAGAAAAAGACACTTTTAAAATTTTAGTTGCTACAGATATTCATCTGGGCTATTTGGAGAAGGATGCTGTGCGTGGAAATGATACGTTTGTAACTTTTGATGAAATCTTGAAACTTGCTCAAGATAATAAGGTATGTATGCCTTGTAACAGCGTTAGCATTGAAAGAGCAGATGTAGCTGTCTCCTGATTTCATGTGGATTGTGTGTTGACGTCATGGCAGCGTGTGAGCAGGGTTATAACTTGGTTCCCATCCTGTTTGGTTTCAACCATTTGTGAGGGTTTGGGATAGTAATGAAGGACAGCGTCTTGCAGATAGCTTTCAGTTCATTGGTTTTAGAGATTGGTAACAAGACCGAATATTTTCATATATTAAATGCTGGTAGTGGTATTACAAGAGCCATTTTGTGGCATATTCTAATGTAGCATTTTGCAGTCCACCTTAAAATAGTGTGCCTTTTCCATATTCTGTTTTTGTGTGTGTGTGTGTGTTTGGATCCCCCTGAGGGGACTTTTTTATTGATTTTTTGTAAACTACAACCGAAAATATAGGGAGGGGAACTACGTCTAAGGGAAAAAGAAAAAAGACCCACTAATAACTAAAAACCCACGAGGAGAGCAATACATCAGCTTAACTCAATGTTAGTTTTAAAAAGCTATTAAAACAATGAACATAGTCGGCTATGCTAGGTTAATTACCTTTTAACTATTCATTTAACTGCTTAAAGAAACCCCCCAAGCATCCCAAAATCATTTCAGAGTTTTCAGGCACAAATCAGAGTCCTTCAGCCACTATGCAGTTTTGGGAGCAGCCGCCCCCTTTTCAGAGGGTGAGTCCTCATCCGAAGGCCCCGAGCCTAACTCTCCATCAGATTTGCTTTCTTCTTCTTCTTTCTCGTCCTCAGCTGGTTCCCCGAGCTGTGTTCGCAGAAAATCACATGCCTTAAGAACAGAGTCAATCTTTTCTTTTTTATCGTGTAGTTTGAAAATGATGCCTTCTGGGATTAACCATCTATAACTGATGCCCTTTGTTTGTAAAAATAGGATTAGCTCTTTATAATTCTTTCTCTTCTTTCATATGTCAAATGGAATGTCTTTTAAAATCCTGATGCTGTTGTCCCCAGTTTTCAAGGGAGTTCCCGAAGTTGCTTTCAAAATAGAGTCTCTCACATGTCTCTTCGAGAATCTGACTACTATTTTCCCAGGCAGATTATTTTTCTTGATGTATGAGGAATAGGACCTGTACACCGCATCCATCTCGCTGTAGACGTATTCCGCGGTCAAATCTGTCATTGGGGCTATTGCTTCACTCAGTCGTTGCTTCAGATTCTCCTTTAATTTCCAGGACCCCTTGAAACCCTAGGACCAAATTGGCTTTCTCCATTTGCAACTGCAAAAGTTGTGACTCTTCCGTGACTTGCTTCATTTCCAGCTTTTGCACCTTTTTCTTTTTTAGTATTGGCGTCCATTTCCTTCACCTTCTCCCCCATTTGCTTCGTTGCTTTTAAGGATTGAGTCAATTGCAGCTTCTGTGAAGCCAAACTCTGACCAATTACTGACAATTGTTGCTTAATACTGGTCATCTCATCCAGCAGAGGGCGCAAGGAATCTGCCAACATTCTTGAAAGCTCAGTGGTCTCTTCCGTTCAAGGACTGCCCACTAGTTTCGCTTTCAAAAGTTTTTCTTTCTCCGATTTCTTCCCCGCCATCTTTTTGGATTTGTTTACTTAACGAAAAGTTGCTAAAGTCTCTGATATTCGCCCAAATGCTTATCTGCACTCTGGTAAGTCTCTGAAAGTTTCCAATGCTTAATTTTTCCGCTCCCCCCTCTTTATTCCGTGTTTTCGTTCATGCGTATGGGAGGGGTCCCTCCCTTGCTCGCTTCGCGTCACTCTTTAAGGGGGGTAGCTTTCTTTTTAATTTTTCATATTCGCTTCAACCCGACTCACAGTTGTTGGCCAACCGGCCTCGCTCAGCACCGTTTTTTCCCCTGCCCAATCTCCAATGCTTGTCCCGGTCAGTAGGACTCGTACCATACGGTCACTCAGCGGCAGGACCTTCGGGGCGGAGGAGTGCCTCAATTCTCCGGCATCACTCCATCGAAGAGGTCACCCCTCAAAAGCTCCCTGGCTAGGAGCCTTTTGCCAAGGCTCCGGGGGGGGGGGGGCGCGACCCGACACCCCTCCTACACGCTGGTTTGCAGTTTGCATCCCCGGGACGTCCAGGAGATGCGTCTGCCTGCGTGTCGCCATAAACCGGAAGTCCCCATATTCTGTTTGTTGACATTTCAGTGTAATGTGTTCATTTTCTATAGCTAATCCCTTTTTTACCTAATGTTTATTTTACAGACATGAGAACTTAAAGATGCAAAACTGGTTTAAAACAGCTGCCTGCAGATTTTTGTTTTTTAAAGCTGCCTGTAAATTCCTTTTTTAAAAGTCTTGTGTTCAACATAACTTCATTTTCAGCTTCATTTTAGAGGCTGTTAAATACCAAGAATGTAATGTAAATTTGTATAGAATGTTTAGATTTTGTTCTTTAGATAATGTAAATAAGCTTACATGAGAAATCTGAATGTTCGGAGATTTTTCTTCTTTTTCTTCTGTAGGTGGACTTTATTTTATTAGGTGGAGATCTCTTTCATGAAAATAAACCTTCCAGGAAAACATTACACACTTGCATAGAATTATTAAGGAAATATTGCATGGGTGACCATCCTGTGCAGTTTGAAATTCTGAGCGACCAGTCAGTTAACTTTGGTTTTAGCAAGTAAGTCTGGATTACTGTGAAACTGAATATCGATAAGTTGTGTAGTTTTCTAAGTATTAATAATGAAAGTTATAATCTTTTAAAATCAGTTTTACATATGAGGGCTTCACTCATGTGAGTCTAGTGGACATGAAGAATAGTTCATGAGTTTGTTTCAGGACTGATGTTTTGGCACTGAGATCAGTGGTTAACAATCACATTGGTTTTAAGGAAGCAAAACTGCAGACTCTGTTTCTGTTTCGTTCGAAAGGAAGGATCAGTGATTCTTTAGCGAGAGCGGGTTATCAAATATGCTAAATTATTTTTTCTATAAATCATTGATCTACAGAACTTTGCTGTCTTGTTTAGATTTCCATGGGTCAACTACCAAGATGAAAATCTCAATGTTTCTATTCCAGTTTTTAGTATCCATGGCAACCATGATGATCCAACAGGGGTAAGTCCTTTGTTCCCTTTCATATTTGGCTTTCTTCTAGTTGGGTTGGGGTTTTTTGGCACTGTTTGATGACATTGGGAGAGGCTGTGACTCAGCAGTAGAGCATCTGCTTGGCATGCAGAAGGTCCCAAATTCAATCCCCGACACCTCTAGTTAAAAGGATCAGGTTATAGGTGATGTGAAGGATCTTTGCCTAAGCCATTGGAGAGCCACTGCTAGTCTGAGTACACAATACTGATTTTGGACCATTGCTCTGATTCTGTATAAGGCAACTTCATGTGTTCATTGTATTTAAATTAATTTCAAACGGATAACTTTTGGAATATTAGTAAGTATGATTAATTATTGGGTATGCTGATCTTCAGAAGGGTGCACAGGATGTCAGAATCCAGGAAACATTTATACCAAAGGTCCCTTAATGAGTTTAGGCAAACGTTTGGCACGTTGATTGCATAATCTCATTTCATCTGTGGGAACCTTATAGATGTCAGTGTGTTGCTAAACAGCTCAATGACTTTCTGCCCTTTCACAGCAATTATGTATGAATCAGAAAATATTACTTGTGGAATAGATGCATTCAGGATTTTAAATGTTTTATGATTATTAGGCTCATGCTCATTATGTAAGGCATTTAAAATGCATTTGATATTGTGGCTCTAATACAATTCTTTCATTCGTGCAATCAGAGGATAGGATCAAACGTATTTTCGTAATGGCATGAAGATGTGAACAGCTTTTCAGTGCGATCCTATGCAGACTTACTCCACTGATTTCAGTTGGCTTAGCCTGGAGGAACTCTACCTAGGATTGCACTAGGAAGCTGTTCACTTTTTTTAGACCCTTAAGAACAAACATTATATCCTAGCCTCTGATTGTACTAATAAAGGAAATGTATTACAGAGCCACTAAAAATGCATTTGAAATGTTTAATGCAAATATGCTCATGTAACTCTGCCCGGGATTTCATTGCTTGTCATTAGGTTTAGCTTGGATTCTCTTTAGTCCACAAAAGCTACAAGCCCATAAAAACTTTTATTGGCCTGGATACTCCTGTGTATCCTTGATAAGTGTGGTAAATAAAGAAGCTGTCCCTTTGCAAACACTTCATTGACCAGTTGCCTGCTGGCAATATCTACTTACCACAGATGATCAGGATAGTGGCCGTTTATAAGCCAGGTTTAGCCAGTTTGGAAATTCAGAGACTGTAATGCTTTTGTTTGTAATGCTTTTTTTTTTTAACAGGCAGATGCGCTTTGTGCTTTGGACATTTTGAGTTGTGCCGGACTTCTGAATCATTTTGGGCGATCACCATCTGTAGAGAAGATAGATGTTAGCCCTGTTTTGCTTCAGAAGGGTAATTCAAAAATTGCTCTCTATGGACTAGGTAAGCCGCTGTCACACTGAGTCAGAATATTGGTCCATCTAACCAAATAATATGTATTCCAGGGGTTGTCAACCGTATTGACTGTCCAGGCACTTCTGAAATTTTGAGAAGGGCAGTGAGCACCACCACCGATTGGCTGCCAGGGAGGGGGCCGTATGTGTGAGAAGAATCACAAAATTTGGAGAGGTTCCACAAGATGTTTGGGAAGTTGCAAGTGTTGCTCCATAATGAAAGCAACTGCTTTTGATTAGGCACTTCCTGCAGTTTCAAAGGCAGTTTCGTGGTGCTTCTAAAGCACCTCCTGTCTCATGCTGAAGAGGCAGAGGAAAGCTGGGGTCAGCAGTTCACTTTGGGAGGTGATGCTGTTTTCTTCCAGTTTCCCAAGGAGAGGGGTTTGCTTTCTGTGCCGCCTCAGAGAGAGGTTTCCAAGCCCGGAGAAAGGTCTGAGTCTATGGCTGAGGATGCATGGCTTTAATGTACTTGCTCAGCGTGAGCTCAGTGTTTGGATAATCAGTCAGCTCATAGGGAGCAATCCTGTTTTTTTTCCTGTACAAGGCCACCTAGATTTTATCCTGCAGACTGAAATGAGTGGGCTCCAGGAGGCACATTGGTGGGTGGCATCTGTGGCTTTATGTTGGCATCACTGTTCTACCTTGGCTGGCAACTGTTTTCCTGCAGTTGAAAGTCTTTTCCAACATGAGCTCTTCATATGCCACGGCTGAATCTGTTGGAGTTTTTTTGTTTACTTATTTGTTTTTGCACATAAGTCATCTGTTCAACCACTGAGCTTGCTCCCTCTGCGTAAGACTTTAATCCAAGAATAACTTCTTGGAGGTCTGAGTGGATTGTCCTTATAAATAGGGTGGGTTTTGTTTCTTAGAACTGGACATAAGATCACGGAGACCTCTATCTGTCTTCATTTACAGTTTTTATCAAACAAAGAGTACCAAAGATCCAACTCTTGTTTGACGACGAACAGTTGAGATTGTAGTCCTCTCTGTAAAATGGAAGTGGTAACTTTGCACCATGATTTAGTGGATGAAGACGGCTTGTGCTTAACACATTAATAGTATAGTCCTAAGCAGAACTGGGGGCTGTGGTGGCTCAGTGGTTAAGACGCTGAACTGCAGACCGGAAATTTCTGATCAGACCTAAAGATGGCAACTATTCCAGAAGTGCAGGTGCCTCCTGAGGGAAGCTAGTTTGGATAGTCATAAATAGCTACCCATTGCCAGTTAATGCTTTGTTGTTCTCTTAAGCAGGGCAAGTCAGAATGGGCGTTCTAGCACTGCAGCAGTACAGACCATACCAGCAGTGCAAGCAGGGGAGGCTGAGGTGGATTAGACGTCCACACCTCAGCCAAAGGCCTGGCGGAACAGCTTCGTTCTACAGGCCCTTCCCCTTCTCTTCACATACAGAGCGGGATGATGGAATCCTGACACACTGAGAGCCAATGTTGGGTAGTGGTTAGAGTGTCGGACTGGGATCTGGGAGCCCCGGGTTTGAATCCCCGCTCTGCCACGGAAGCTCGCTGGGCGACCTCCCTCCAGTTACACACTCTCAGCCCAGCCTACCTCATAGGGTTGTTGTGAAGATGAAATGGAGGAGAGGAGAACGATGTAAGCCGGTTTGGGTGCCCATTCAGGAGAAAGGCCGCGATGTAAACGAAGTAAATAAATGAAACAAACGCCAGTTACTCAACGGTGTTTGAATTCAAGGCACGTGGGTTATAACCAGAACTAGTCTGTCCCCACCCCAGTTAGAACTCAGCCATGGTTTAATCCAGGTTTAGAATCGGGGGGGGGGGGGAGTTAATGTGCATGCCCACATTTGCCGTGCCCAACCAGAGTTTGTTTCAAACCAGGATTTCTCCATCAAGGCAGAAGGTGGGAAGAGTGAGGCGCACGCACAGAGACTGTAGAACCAAGCTGGGTTCACGAGTATCCTGGCTTAACGCCATCTTAGTGTCTTGTCCGGTGTGAGGGGAAATGGTGGGCAGCCCAGAGCAGAACTTGCTCAGTTCCAGAGTCTCTTTCCTGGCTTGCTGCTGCCTGTACCGTCGCCGCTGCCTGCTCTGCTGGTGTCCAGTGTTGGCATTTCTGTTGCAGATTTTTTTTTTACATTTATTGTTGTTTTTAGAACATCATATAAAAGACTTGCTGTCGGGGAGAGGGGGAAAAAGGGAGAGGGAAGGGGGGGGAATTAAAGAAAAAGTAAAACAAAACACGGCGCGGTAACCCTCATCCAGACAGATAAAACGAGTTTTGTATCAAGTTTCATAGGGCCCTAAAAATTCAGCCTGGATACTGTTACATTTGGTGCCTGCTTCCTTGTTTGTTAGATACTGTGTTTTCCTTTACTGCAAGATCCAGGGGATTTAGAAGGCTGAAACTCTGTTTAGGATTACACACTGGAAGAGTCACTTTACATATTCTCTTTATGTTGTGGTTATTGCCCTGTATGTATACATTCCTTGTAGATCTCTTTGACATGGTGGCCTGGAGATTTTTGCTTTCTCTATTCCTTCCTCTTTTTCTGTCAACTAGGTTCTGTTCCCACTTTCTCTTTCATCGCTTTTCTTGAGTTGGAATGTGTCCCTCACAGTTCACATGCTCTTCTTTCTTCCTCTTTCTGAGTTTTTAAGGAGGTCTTTACTTCCATAAGGTCAGAGAACAGAGGGAAGCACTCTTCCCACAAGAACAAGAAATCCCGGTAGCTAAATAATATACAAAGTAAGACCCATGAGCAATGCTCCCTCTAAGCTATGGAGACCTGTGAGCAAAAGTTCTACTTCATGAGCTATTGACATTAAAGCTGTGAGCAGGGGATTTTAGAAATTAGTTTGCTCTGAAGCCATCCTTCCTGAGCTAAGGAAAACATGTGTGAGCCAGAGGCTAAACACCTGGGAGCTAGTTTACACTAATTCAACTTAGAGGGAACACTGCCCATGAGCATACAGTTCTTCTTATATATCCTTCTCCCAGAGAGGCTATCGTATGAGGAAAGCACAGATCTCTGAATATTTCAACCACAATTTTTAAAAAAATCTTTGTTTTTTTAAAAATACTTTTTAAAAAATAGGGTACAGAAAAAGGGTATGAGGGGAGAAAAGGAATAAGAGTGAGGCACTTTTTTACAAATATTGAAGACAATATCTAAGAAATGGATTAATAGATCTAAGTAAATCATTATAATATTGTAACATTACCGATAACACTATTTCCCTATAACATGTTTTCACAATTCCCAATCTAAAAATAGAAATTCTAAGGAAGGCTATACAAACAAATTCACTCAACATCTTATGTAAATCTGAAATAACCACATAGCTATTTAAAATAATTTGTAGTAATGGGGAAAGAACAAAATTCCATATCACAGTTAAAGAACAATTTAAAAAAATCTTTGAGTAGGAGAGTATTTGCGGGAACTCCCTTGGCCATGTGAAAATGAGCATCTCCACAAATGAGGCTGGATTTATAAACTGCCTCTTAGCACTTGCCTCGTGGCAGTAGCAGTGATACAGCGAGTGGGGGCGGTTTGCCATCCATCTGCTCCCCTGGGGCCATCTGTCACTTCATGGCACTGTGCGGTGTTTACCATGTTTGGACACTAAAATCTCAGTACCTGTAATTTGTCGACTGTGTCTGTTCCAGGATCTATTCCAGATGAGAGATTGTACCGAATGTTTGTGAATAAACAAGTGACCATGCTGCGGCCAAAGGAAGATGAGGATATTTGGTTTAATCTGTTTGTAATTCATCAGAACAGGTACTGTTGTTGCGTATCAGGCCAGTTGTGCAGCACGCCAGTGGGTCTCTGCACGCTTTTCATCCTCCCTCTCCTTGTCCATGTAAAATGCATCGTAGCGTCTAAAGAATAATAGTGAGGTGGGGTTGGAAAAACTGATACAAATGCAAAGTAGTTTTGAGTGAACATAATCTTTGGCAGTGTTTTGAGCTTTAGGTATGGGATTTTTAAGATCTTCTCTGTGGCTTTGAAAGGTTTGCATGCCTGGTGGGCCATTTATTTATTTGTGCTTTGAACAGTGGAAAAATGCTTTTCTACATGCCTCAGCTTCCGAAATGGTTTTCTGTGTTGTTTGGGCAGCAGTTGAACAACAGAGACCCAAATCTCTGAGCATACAAAATTGGCTGCTCTGATCTTTGGAATATAAACATCCCGTAAGGATACACCTTTTTTCCTGACCTGTAATTCATAAACGAGGATGGGGCAATTTTTTTTTTGCAGCCTTCCAATTGCTTTCCACACACACACCCCACACTGAACTCACAGGGTGTTATCAATTTCATGGTGAATTGTGTTTGGTGATAGAGGTGGTGCCACATCCTGGATTCAGAAACATCACTTCTGACACATCAATGAGGCCAGAATTAATCACAGAAACACAGCCATAAATCTAAGAGTTAGTACCTGAGTGTGCTTGCTTTCCTCTTCCCTTCTTTTTCGTTTTGTGTGTATTACAATTCTAGGCCCACCAAACTATTTGCCATCTGTCACAGGAATATGAGCATCATGCTTTCCAGGGAGATGTGATGGAGCTGTTTGAACTCTCCCCAGCTGCAATTGATTGAAAATTTAGATATCAGTATTTAGAGGGAATTACCCAATTGGTCTGCAACTTGGTTATGTATTTTCTATTGTTATATGCTTCCTGTGTGTAACTCTACCATACAATAAATAAATAACATTTTAGGTGTTAGTTTGAGTTGCAAACCACCTTGAATGCACTGGCAGATTTTTTATTCTTTTGCCATCAAGTCATAGCCGACTTTGACGACCTCATAGGATTTTCGAGGCAAGTGAGGAACCAGAGGTGGTTTGCCATTGCCTGCCTCTGCATAGCAACTGTGGACTTCCTTGGTGGTCTCCCATCCAAGTACTAATCCAGGCTGACCCTGCTTAGCTTCTGAGATCTGATGAAATCAGGCTACCCTGGGCTATCCAAGGCAGGGCACTGGCAGAATAATGGTACATAAATATGTCACATAAGTAATATCCCTGTGCAGTTGTGCTTGTTTTTCTGCTTACTTGGGTGATAAGCTTTTGCTATGGAAACCCAATGGGCTGGGTTCTGTTACTGGTGGTGCTTTTCTTTTGGGTCAGGTGAAGGCTTCTTGGGCTGGAGGAAAGCACCACTGCTAGTGGAATGGATTTGTGGGTTCCAGCCCGACATTTTGATTTGCCTTTCCTTGTTTTCTGGAGATCATGCATTGCAGAAGTACCACCTAAATCTTAGCTATAATATCTTATGTTAATTTCACTGTACACATACATTTTTGCAACTGTTGTTTCTTTTCTTTTGGAACAGGAGTAAACACGGTGCCACGAATTATATTCCGGAACAGTTTTTAGATGATTTTATTGATCTTGTAATTTGGGGTCACGAGCACGAATGTAAAATATCGCCAACTCGAAATGAGCAGCAGCTTTTCTATGTTTCTCAGCCAGGAAGTTCAGTGGTCACATCCCTGTCACCAGGAGAAGCTGTGAAAAAGTATGTTCTTGGTCATCATTTACATATTATTTTGTACATGCACATTTGCACATGTGCACTGAATATGACGGGGGGAGGGGTTGTTTCTTGCTGGCACTCTACCATTAATTTAATAAAGAGAAGGCAAAGCTCTGTGATCTCTTTAGGAGGATCTAGTCATTGGGAAGGAACATCTCTTTTTTGATGAAACCCTGCCCTGTGCCTTTAGCTCGTCACCTGCCCCAGGGTCTGAGGATTTGCTTGGCTTCAGAAGGGCTAATCAGGACTGTAGTGCCGTGACAGGCGGATCAATACCTGTTGTCACAGCACTAGGACCATCATCTTGTGCTTCAGTATCTAAGTGTTTCTATGCCCCGACCATCGCAATGGTATTGACTCCCAAAATGTACTCTGGGGTGATGGCACAATTACACCGCATGCAAATTCTGCTGAGAAGTATACAGAAAGAGAGAAGGTGTAGTTTCTCCGTTGGTGCTGACATCAGCATATCCTGAGATGGGGGCAGCAGCCAGGGCCCTGGGCTTCTGGTGGGGCCCACTGCAGCTGGCACCCGCCCCCATTGGCATCCCCTTTCCCCACCCACTAGCTTGTGAGTGCTCTGCGACCACATTCCTGGCTGCACGTTCTGCCCAGCAGCTCTGGGGAAGGGTTTGCAGGTGGTGCGCAACAGCAGCACACCTGGTTGGATGTACCATGCAAGTGCTGTGCATGAAAGAGCAAGGGGGGCCGTGCATACGGCTGTGAGTGCAAGTGATGGGAGGGCTCACAAGCAGGTGGGGGAAGGGAACACAGGCAGAACTGCAGCCGGTCAGCAGAGCTGGGGAAAGTGTTGGAATCAGAGCCTGCGTGTGATGCCAGAGTGGTTGTGAGAAGGAAGAAGAGAACGGGAGGGGGTTAGGAATAAGCCAAATCAGTGGCTTTGATCTTGCCTAAGATGTAAAGAGAGCCAGTTTGGTGTAGTGGTTAAGAGCACCTGGACTCTAATCTGGAGAGCCGGGTTTGATTCCCCACTCCACTACGTGAAGCCGGCTGGGTGACCTTGGGTGAGTCACAGCTCTCTCAGAGCTCTCGCAGCCCCATCTACCTCACAGGGTGCCTGTTGAGGGGAAAGAAGGTGATTATAAGCGGCTCCGAGACTCCATCAGGTAGTGAAGGGTGGGGTATAAAACCAACTGTTCTTCTTCTCATTCTTCTCCCTCTTCTCTTCCTCCTCCTCCTCCTCCCCTTCCTGTAGAGCACGCCTTCCCTGTCTCCCTCGATGGTCTGTCATGGGAGGGGTTTAATGGTGAAAATCACCCTCTCTGTCCAGGGGCAGGCTCCAAGCCAGTAGTGGGAGGGGTCTTCTTTGGCGAAGTTCGGAGTAAGGGAGAGGGATTCTTGCATCTCTTCTCCATTCCCTAAGGATTTGTTTAAGGGCCAGTTACATTCTTATCCTTGAGAATGTCAGTTCCTCCATCGGCCTGGCTCATACTGTCCATCTGTTGAAGCTCAAAACGGGGGCTTCTGTTAGGGTGCCTGCTGCATCAGCATGTTAGTGGCAAAGGTGGTGACTGCCGTTCTTTTACCCTATTCCAGTGATGGCGAACCTTTTAGAGACCGAGTGCCCAAACTGCGACCCATAACCCACTTATTTATCGCAAAGTGCCAACACGGCAATTTAACCTGAATACTGAGGTTTTACTTTAGAAAAAACGACTCATATATTAATTTAAGATGATCCAAACAAACTAAGGAAAGCAATCCCAAATGCTTTCATTTACTTAAAGTTATTTGGCAGAAAATTTGACACTTTAATGATGGTCTGGGCCTGGCTGGGGCGATGGCACGGGTGCCCACAGAGAGGACTCTGAGTGCCACCTCTGGCACCCGTGCCATAGGTTCGCCACCACTGCCCTATTCCATACTGGATGCCCATGGGCTCTGCTCATTCATTCCAGGCATGTTGGCTTGCTGCTCATCAAGGGCAAGAAGATGAACATGCAGAAGATTCCTCTCCAGACGGTGCGGCCTTTCTATATCGATGACGTTGTTCTAGCTGAGCATCCAGACATCTTTAACCCCGACAATCCCAAAGTAATGCAAGCCGTACAAGCTTTCTGCATGGAGAAGGTAACTTTTGAATCCTCCTAACATGGTTAGTGATGCAGCGTATGGGAGGATGGTGCATTTCTGACTGTAAGATACAAGGCTATAGGGATGGTTATTTAGTCTCATCTTCTGCATAGCACTGAAGGTAGGAATTCTCAGTGTGCAACAGAGTAGCTGAGTGGAGTGTAATGGACAGTAGAAGCTCAAGTCATCTTGCCCGTCTGCTTGCAATGGTCATGTCTACCGGAACTGGAATGTGAGAACTTGTTTGATATTAAGCGTCTGTCAATCACATCATTAGCACCCAGTAGCATTGTGGCATTAGGTCAAGGCCCTAGGGAAAAAAACTAATGGTATGCTGAAGGCCTTCCTGAACCCTGTAGCAGCATGACATGACTTGGTTGGTGGCAATGAAGAAAGGTGGGGTTGAGCCTGCGGCCGGTTCTTGGTGGATGTAGTGATCCAGCACGTTTGGGGAATGGATAAGGGGCTTCGTGTAGTTCCCCCCCCAGTTATTGTGCCACAGCATTCAGTACAAAACTAGAATCCATTGCTACTTTTTTTTTTTAGTTTTTTTTTATGAGTGCGTGTGTGTGCTTGGAAGTCATGGTTGACTTCTGGCGACCCCTAGTGGGGCTGGATGTTTCAGAGAGGTGGCTCGCTATTGCCTGCCCCTGCATCCCAGCCCTGGTATTCCTTGGAGGTCTCCCATCCAAGTACTTGCCAGGGTCGGCCCTGCTTAGCTTCTGAGAGCTGACGAAGTCGGGCTTGCCTGGGCTAGACTCCAGTCCTACTTGATACAAATAGGGCAGACTCATTTCTAATAATGCTTAATATTTTTGCAGCAGCACTGCCTTTTAGTGTAATTGGAAATAACTGGCAGGTCTTTCCAACTCTGTTGCTGACCAGTGCTCCGTGCCAAAAGGGAAAGCATTCGGTTTGAATGTTTTCGAATGGTACATTTTTCTTTTTATAAACAGTAATTTTAAATATTGTTCATGGTAAGCAAGAACATTTGGGGAGGATAGCACTTTTTTGCATCTAATCTTTCTTTCCTTTTTTCGGTAAAGGTAGAAACTATGCTGGACAATGCAGAAAGAGCTCGTCTTGGAAATCCTCGGCAGCCGGAGAAACCTCTTATAAGATTGCGAGTAAGATAAGGCCTCCTTATTATTTAAAATCTTATCCTGAATATACTATTTCTGCAAAATTTAGTTGGAATGGCGCTAAATGAACTTCTTGGTAGTAGATCCAGAGGAGTTAGTCTTGTTGTCTGTTGCTGCAAAATTGTAAAAAGCCCAGTAGATCCTTTAAGATTAACAAACGTTATTGTAGCATAAGCTTTCGAGAAACACAGTTCTCTTCATCAGGTGCATGGAGGGTATGAAGGTTTCTTCCTACCCTCCATGCATCTGATGAAGAGAACTGTTTCTCGAAAGCTTATGCTACAATAAAGTTTGTTAGTCTTAAAGGTGCTACTGGGCTTTTTACTTCTTGGTAGTGTGTGCCTTGACTTGAAGATGTGGGATTGTTGGGACTGATAATTTAAAGGCTGTTTAGCTTTTAAGAAGGAAAGGACACACATGGTCATCAGAGGTGAGACACTTTCCTCTGATGTCATAGAGATACATCTGACATTGAGATGAATGATTAGAAATGGCTTTGTGTATTAAGATATTTATAATGTGCTTTTCTCCCAAAAATGGGATCCAGAATTGTGATCAGTGGACCTTTTGTGTGTTGTCCTGCAACTACCTCAAGACTGCACAAATGTTTTAAGCTAAATGGATGACTTTTGTATTCTAAATGCAAGCTGCCAATTCCTACACCTCAGGTTTTCATGTCATCTTCCTTTGAAGGTGGATTACAGCGGAGGCTTTGAACCATTCAGCGTCGTCCGTTTCAGCCAGAAATACATGGATAGGATAGCCAATCCAAAAGATGTCATACATTTTTTCAGACATCGGGAGCAAAAAGAGAAAAATGGTAAAAAGGAGGGGGAATTCCTTTAAATTCGTTTAAATTCCTTTAAACGGAATTCCTTTAAAAATGTGCAGAAAGGTTTGCATGTCTCTAAGTTCTTTGGGTTTTTTTAAAAAAGAAAATCAGTATTGCTAGCAGAGAATTAAATATATTAATGATTTGTGTTAAATGCCATCAGGTTGCTTCTGACTTATGGTGACCCGATGAATTAATGTCCTCCACATTGTCCTATCGTTAACAGCCTTGCTCAGGTCTTGCAAACTGATGGCCGTAGCTTCCTTTATCGAGTCTATCCATCTCATGTGGGCTCTTCCTCATTTCCTGCTGCCTTCAGCTTTTCCTAGCATTCTTGTCCTTCCCAGTACTTCAGTATTAGAGAATGTCTTTTTGAGCACTGTATGTTCTCGTCTTCAGTCCTTGTCTCTAGAGACCCAGGAAGAGCCATTCCAATGATGCCTTTAAGTCCTTTTGTCTTTTAAGCTGCACTGGGGCTTGAGTTAAATGGATTTGAAAAGGGTGAAACAGGAGAAGTGACAGAAAAGGACTGTTTTCCTATTAATTTGCACTTTTCTGAAGAATCTCTGGATGCCATTAGGAATGATTCTGTAAGCTAAATGACTAGATTTCCTTGGCTTTGTAGGCAGTACATCTAAAATATTAAATTTGTACAGCAGGCACATGCTTGTGGTGGCAAGTCTGTAGAGAACGCTGGGTGCCACTTCTTTTGCAGAATATCCCTTTGAAGTGCACACTTGTTCTCTGGCTCTCTTCACAGAATCCGTGCATATTCTGTGCCTTGTTCTCTTCACAGAATCCGTGCATATTCTGTGGAGCTAAATACAAAGGCCGAGAAAAAGTGCTTGGCAGAGGAGGGCCAGAATGCTTGTGCAATGGAAAATATACATGTTTTAAATTCACGTGTGTTTCCAGCAGGATTTCCCCCCATTTCTTGAATTTTTCTACCCTGCGGATGTGTGTTACCGTTTTGTCATTTGGGGTGATGCGGGTTTTTAAGTAAAACAAGTGTTCTTTTAAAATGGGCACAACTTTTTCCTCCCGTTCTTTAGAAGAGGAGATTAACTTTGGCAAGTTTGTTCAAAAGCCTGCATCAGAAGGAGCAACTTTGAGGGTGGAGGATCTTGTGAAGCAGTACTTCCAGACAGCAGAGAAGGTAAACCTATTTTTTTAGGATTTCAGGTGCAACTTAAACTGTGCTGTTGGTGGTAGCACTTGAAGATTGATGCTAATGCCCCTAGAATTTCATTCTGTCTATTAAAGTCTTCTAGCCTTTGGTTCTTTATTGCTGAAGGATTGAAACTGGGCTGAGAGACGTCCTGTCCAGAATATGTGGCTGCAAGGAGACATCTTGCAGCTGAACCACGGTTGGGCACAAACACAGCTTGTCGCTGTGCTTGTGTACTTTTCTCCTTCCTTGCTCCTCCTCTTGTGTGGAGCATGATTGAAAGCTTCCTGGTTTGATCAAGCTCCAGTTTGCCTCAGTATATACATGCACGCACCTTGGCAAATTAGAACCCGTCTCCGCAGCCACCCACCCCAGCCGAGATTCTGCAGACCTAAGCAGAGTTATGCCCTTCTGAGTCCCTTTAAGGCACTGTGCTGGGCGGGAGGTGTGGGGGGGGAGATGAATAATTTGTCTGCAGTTTTGGACGTCATGGCAAGTTGGTGCTGCATGAAAGCAGGAAGTTTGTTTCCAGTCAAGCTTCACTTACAAGAGGAAGGAAGGAGGGTGAGGGGAGCACAGTGGCAAGCTGTGTTTGCGCTGATGGGCGCGTAAATTCTGTTTGTTGTGCCATCTGGATGTATCCATTTTCTGGCTCAGAAACAGCAGAGATTTTACAGCACCTAAGGCAGGTCCATTTACTGTGGAACTCGTTTTTGAAAACAGCCACCATGGAAGAATTGAACGTGTCGTAAAAAAAATAATTGTAGCTTTAAGTGGTTTCCGTGTTTGCGCTCATCTGAAGATAATGGTTTTTAAATAAGTATAATGTTTTTTTAAACAACCAGATTGGTTTTTAAATAAGTATACGAGTGTACCAAAACCCTTTGTTTGTGCAACTTCCAGAAAATGCAGCTCTCCCTCCTGACTGAAAGGGGCATGGGAGAGGCGGTGCAGGAGTTTGTGGACAAGGAGGAAAAAGACGCAATAGAAGAACTAGTGAAATTCCAGCTAGAAAAGACCCAGCGGTTTCTGAAGGAACGGCATATAGATGTAGAGGAAGCAAAAATCGATGAAGAGGTTTGTAGGGTCGGGCGGCCTTTCTCTCCGTTACAGTGAGTACCATCACTGAGGGCCATTGCTGTTGCCTCACCTCATGGAAAACGTTTTTAAAAGTTTTAAATGTTTATTCAGTACAATAAAAAGATGTCCATAATAAACGGAGTATACGTAACAGGTTCAAGTCCAACTGTCCCTGTTATGTCCCTTTGCTGTAAAAACCATTGAACTCTGTTTCTCATCCTTTGTTGCATGATCCATATAGAAAACTAGTGGACAGTTTGCATCTAGTCTTTTCTCTAGAGGATGTAGTTATGGCCACAGGAATAAACAGCTTTAAAAGGGGATTAGATAGATTCATGGAGGGGTAGGTCCATCAATGGCTACTAGCCATGGTGACTGAGGGGAACCTCCACATTCTGAGGCACTAAGCCTCTGAATCCCAGAGCCAGGAGGTAACATGAGGGGAAGGCCTCAGCCTCTGTGCCCTGTTGTTGCCCCTCCAGAGGAACTGGTTGGCTGCTGTGTGAGACAGGATGCTGGGCTAGATGGACCACTGGTCTGATCCAGCAGGGCTCTTCTTATGTTCTTATCAAGGAAGGCCTCAGCCTCTATGCCCTGTTGTTGGCCCTCCAGAGGAACTGGTTGGCCCCTGTGTGAGACAGGATGCTGGGCTAGATGGACCACTGGTCTGATCCAGCAGGGCTCTTCTTATGTTCTTATCAAGGAAGGCCTCGGCCTCTATGCCCTGATGTTGGCCCTCCAGAGGAACTGGTTGGCCACTGTGTGAGACAGGATGCTGTACTAGATGGACCACTGGTCTGATCCAGCAGGGCTGTTCTTTCTGTTCATGGGTCATCTGCTAGATGTACATGGTCCCTTTCCATTATGGACTTCACACTATAACATTATAAAGGTACTACTACAGATTTGTTCCACATATTATAAATATATGAAGCTTCCTAATCCTGAGTCAGAACAGGGGTCTGTCTAGACTCTGGCTCAATGCTGACTATTCTTGCAGTGGCTCTCCAGTGTCTCAGGCTGAGAATATCTAGGGGAGGAATTGTGGCTGAAGGGAAGAGTGCAGTCCTTGCGGGCAGGAGGTCCCAGTTTCAGTTCAAGACATCTCCGGTTAAAGGATGTCAGGTAACAGGGTCCATCCCAAGATTATGCTGTTTTCTTGAGTCACAGTTTCTCCCCTAGATATTTACTTCTTTAGCTACATCACTTACAGCTGGTGGGTTCCATGCTTTCTTAGTTCTGTTGACTTGTGTATGCTGGGGTTTTTTAAGTGGGTCACCATACCAATTCAATTTGGACTTGCGGATCACTATACCAAAGTCTTGCCTTTCTCACTGAACTCAATACCGCTGCACGATTAGAAGAAAAGTTCGATAAAACTGGATTATAAAATGAGAGAACACTAATAATAAGGATAACCCAGTAAACAAGGTGATATTTAAAAACTGCCTAAAGATCCTTTTCCCTGGGTAAAAAATGCCCTCCTGAACAACTCTTTTTTTTTTGTACCATAACCCTGTTCCCATTTTGCATATTCTTTGGAATGACAGAAGTACGGGAAGTTTCCTGACCTTATCCAGGAGGCTATTTTATCTGGTGGGAGCCACAGCAGAGCATACCTGGGTACAGACAGTGATTGATCTAACCCATTTGCAGGATGGCACCTTGCAAAGGCTGTCCTCAGATAAGTGAAGCTGTCTCAAGTATACCTACAGGAGCGGTCCTGCAGATATGTGGTGCGTAGGCCGTGCACAGTTTGTGTAGGTAAGAACCAGAACCTGGAAACTAATCAGCAACCAGTGGAGTCACTGCAGAATATGTGCAATATGCCTGACTCCCAATAGTCAGCGAGCTGCAGAGTTCTCTACTAGTTGGCATTTCTGAGCATTCTTCAAGGGCAGATCTGTGCAGAGGGCATTACAGTGGTCTGGCTTCGAGATTACTGTGGCATGGATCTGTGTGGGCAGATCAGCCATATCAAGGTAGGGAGCCATCCTCCTGGCTAAGTGATGATGGAAGAAATCATTTTTAGCAGCTGAATTGGCTTGCTTCTCCAGCGATAATGCTGGGTCAGGTATACCCAAGACTCTTGAGAGGGTCGGCCAAACCCCATCAAATGTGGGGCGTGCAGTAGCTTCCAGGACCTTAACATATCTAGGGGCCCTATTTTAATAAAGATATTTTTTAAGGTGCAACCCTTAAACTCACTTCCTCCAGAGCAGCTCCACTGCTTTTAAAAGGACCGCTTGTAATTTATTGGGTAGTGGATGGCAGCATAAGATGCATTACAACTGGTTACTCAGGTGATTAAATAGGACGTGTTCATAATTTTAGTTGTCTTATAAGAGGCCTTACCGATATTGATGAATCAAAGCAGAATGTGACCTTCTTGCCTAGATACTTAAATGACCCTTCTTCCAAATCAAATTATTTAATGCCATTTTTCATGTGTGGGTCGAAAAGACACGGTAATGACCTAAGGGAGTAAACTTGTAACAAGAGATTTCCTTTCTAGTCCTTATTTCTGTCACCAGTATAGTATATTTATTTACTTAAAACATTTATTAGCCATCTGTCTTCCTTATGGTGCTCACAGCAGTTTACAATATAAATAAAGCACATTAAATACATAAAACCAAAATTTAAAATCACAGTTTTTGTTGTTGTTCAGTTGCACAGTCGAGTCTGACTCTTCGCAACCCCATGGAGCACATCATGCCAGGCCCTCCTGTCTTCTGTCGTGCTCCTGAGTTTGCTTAATTTCATGTCTGTTGCATCGATAACACTGTCTAACCATCTCATCCTTTGCCGTCTCCTTCTTCTTTTACATTCAGTCTTTCCCCAACTGAGCGTCCTTTCGGCTTTGGCCCAGCCACTTCACTCTTTCTGGGGTTACTTGTACTTGCTCTCTGCTCTTCCCCAGTAGCATATTGGACACCTTCCGACTTGAGGGGCTCATCTTCCGGCATCATATATTTTGTTACTGTCCATGGGGTTTTCTTAGCAAAGATACTGGAGTGGGTTGCCATTTCCTTCTCCAGTGGATCACATTTTGTCTGTGTTCTCTGCTGTGGCCTGTCCGTCCTGGATACTGCTTTAATAAAGTTCCGTCCTAAATATGTAATATACACAGTGCTTCTCTTGTAAAGCCCCAACTTTTTTTCACTTCTTTCTTTTGAACTACAGCGAGGGCTCTACTTACACTGATTTTTATCAATCACAAAACGAAATGGTTTTCCTTTTTATGATTTTGTTGTTAATGCTATTGTTGCATGCGGGATTTATGTTTATAGAAGGTCAGAGACAAAAAGTTGACAGTTGGAGAAAGCAGAGAGAAAAACTGTGGGCGGGGCTTAGACAAGAACATTCATGTTTTAAAACTCTGCCTTGCTATCATAGTTATCTTTTAATACTGGTTTATTGTAGGTGCGGCTGTTCAGAGAGTCAAGAAAAAAGAATACTGAGGAGGAAGACAAGGAAGTTCGTGAGGTATTTTCCTTAAGCTGAAAACTTGGGAGGAAAACGGGCAAGCACGTGTATTTATCTGCAAGGGAACAGAGAAATTTGAATTTGGTTGCTTTATGTGGTAATAAATAACTTAATGGGTCAGAAACATTACAGTTAAGATGGCAGGTTCCAGGTTAAGTAACCACTGAGATTTGAGTTAAAAATGTAGAACAAATCAGTTTTCCCCAACGTATTTTGAAGGTACAATGTGCATCTTTTGTGGTTTATATCTGGATCTTTCTCAGTGTGATTATTACGTGGATTGAAACTTTGTCCACGTTGATACTGTAGAACATGACTCTTTTCACACTCACAATAAATGTAAATTGACTTCAGTTTCTTTCAGAGAAATATTGAACGTTCTGTTGTTTCCCAGTTGACTATTCAGAGTTCCATTTCTTCCTTGTTCATGTTTCTTTCTCTCATCATCTTTCCTTTACTAATAAATGCATTTAATTTTCTTTCCCTACTAATGTCTGGATGGGGCACCTTTGGAGGTGGAGAGGCAGGGGGACCTGGTTTCTGATCCAACAGAACCATTCCTGTGTGCTTGAAACAGGTTATTTCCTGTCTCTCAGGCTATCAACAGGGCCAAATCCCACAGATCTCAGGGAGCTGAGCAGGATGTTGTCATGAGTGACGACGACCTCATGGCCGCAGCTAATGATGATTCAGATGGGGATCTTCCTTCGGCACCCAGCAGGGGAAGAGGCAGAGGAAGAGGTCAGGCAAGAGGCGGAAGAGGGCAGAACCCACCAGCGAGAGGAGCGCCTCCACGAGGAAGAGGTCAGTAGCCTTGCACTCGTAACTGCATTTGTTACAGACGCAGCGTCTTGTGAGTCAGAAACATCAGTGTGTATTCTCAAGCTGCCTCAAGGCTCGAGAGACCTTTTCCTCAAGGGATGAGTGTACTCGTGATGCATGTAGAGCAAAGACGGAATTTGGATCGCATCTTTATTGACACGGAGACAATTCTTAGGGGCACCTTCTTTTTATAATAATCTGCCTACCAGCCATACTATCTATGCCCCGTGGCTGCTCTCAGAGTTGCTTAAGACTTAATTGACTGTGCCCTGGAAGAGCTGGTCACAGGGCCGGACAGAGGGGTAGTGATCTGTAGTGTGGTTGCAGGGTTCACGCTGTGCAAAGACGACACGACACAAACAGCTTCTGCAGAAAGCTGACTGAATGACTGAATGCTCTCACTCACCAGCTATATTTATTGAAAATCCATCTCCTCCTTCCCCCCCCCCCCTTCATACATTACAGCATGAGACATGAACTAAGGAAT